GCGGAAAGCTTCAAAGATAGCCAGGAGCTCCTTATCATGGGTATCGTAGTTGAGTTCGGGCGCTGTCAGCGTTCTCGAGCAAAAAGCAACCGGGCGAATCTCATCATCCTCACAACGGATGGAGAGAATACCTGAGATTGCATAGTCGGACGTGTCAGTTTCAACTATTAGCGGACGATCGGGTACCCAGTGTGTAAGGATGGGGGCGGATGTGAAAGCTTCTTTGAGATGAAGGAAGGCGGAACGACACTCATCAGAGAAGGACCAAGCCACATTTTTACGGGTGAGTCTGGTCAGCGGAAGAACTATACTGGAATAATCATGGATGAAACGGCGATAGAAGTTTGCAAATCCCAAGAAGGACTGGATGTCCTTGACCTTACGGGGCTCAGGCCAATCCTGAATGGATTGAATCTTTTCAGGCAACATGGACAAACCAGTCGGCGAAAGGATGTAGCCCAAATACTCCATAGTGTCAGTTGAGAATTCGCACTTCTGCGGATTGGCAAATAACCCATGCTTGCGTAGCCTACTCAGGACCTCCCGGACGTGATCCTCATGCTGAGTCTCATCTTCCAAATAGACCAGGATGTCATCCAAGTAGACTACCACGCAAGTGTTGAGAAGATCAGCAAAGATGGTATTGACGAAGCGCTGAAAGGCTGCGGGTGCGTTGGTCAGACCGAATGGCATGACGAGCCACTCGTAGGATCCGTAGCGCGTGCAGAAGGAAGTCTTCCACTCATCGCCCACTGCTATCCGCACCAAATGGTACGCATGGCGGAGGTCGAGCTTGGTGTAGATCTTCGCACGGCTAGGAACGTCTAGGAGATCAGAGATACGCGGCAGTGGATACCTATCTTTCTTTGTGATCTTGTTGAGGCCCCTGAAGTCCACACAAAGACGTAGAGAACCGTCTTTCTTGCGGACGAAGAGTACTGGTGTGGCGTGGGTTGAAGACAAAGGACGGATGAAACCGGACGCCAAATGCTCGTCAAGGAATGTATGGAGAGCCTCAAGCTCAGACTGGGAAAGGGAATAAAGGGTGCCAAGGGGAGGATGGGAGCCTTCCTCCAACTCGATCTTCAGGTCATATTCACGGTGCGGCGCGAGAGTATTGGCTTTACTCTTACTGAAAACATCCGCAAACTCGTGATACGCCTTAGGAACAGTTGAGAGGTCGACGGGGTCAGAAGAGGTGGATGTCGAGCGCAACTCTGCTAAAGTGGACAGATTTTCCAGGCAGAAAGTGATGGACCCATTGAGTCGGGCAGTCCGGGCGAACACAGCCAGACTGACGATCTCGATGGTGATTGCCTGATGGACGGATGCACACTGTGGGTCGGAGGTTGGATTCCCTTGCGTTGGGACTGGGTCCACAACTACGGGAGGAGAGCTCAGGGTGGTTGGACTGGATTGCACAGACGTCCGGAAAGTTATACTGCTCGAGACCCAGTCAATCAACGGATTGTGTCGGGTGAGCCAGTCATGTCCTAGGACGATAGCGCAAGAGCCATCCAACGATGTGACATAGCATGTCGTCGGAGTAACCTCACCAGTGGCGAATCGGATGGGCAGATTGACGGCTTGGGTGATCATGGAGTTCATGGAGCTGTCAAATAGTCGGAGTTGCAGAGGCGTGACAGGGTACGTGGAGATGTGATGTTTATTGACGAAGGATGTATCTACAAATGTGTCAGAAGACCCTGAGTCAATAAGAGCGGAAAAGTTTCCAGATGGAAGAGAAGAAGGAAAAGACATATTTTTACGGGGTTCAGACCCCCCGGAAGAAGAAGACAGAGCAGAGCCGGGAGCATTCTCCCTTGAAGCGGAAAATAGATCAGAGCCGGGAGCACACTCCCTTGAAGTTGGAAATCGGCCATCATCAGAACAAGGAGAAAAAGAGATCAGAACAGAAAGAGAATGGAGAGCGGATAGCCCAGACGCGTTCAAGCACAGGACTCTAGACGTACGAGGAGGGTCAGCGTGACCAACCGGTCGTACGGGGCCCGGAGGGTCACTATCTAGTTTTTTTCCTCGTCCGAATCCACCACAGAATCCGCGACATCCTCAGCCTGGGCTGCCCTAGCTTTGGCCGCACGGGAGGAGGACTTGGGACACTCTTTGGCCACATGCCCAGAGCGCCCACAGAAGAGGCAGAGGTTGTTCTCGAAACGATGCTGGCGTTCTTCTTTGGTGAGCTTGCCACTCTTGTCAAGCTTCGAGGACAGGTCAGAGTCGGGTTGCTTTCCCTTAGACTTTTTAGGGTCCTTGGTAGAGCGATCAGCAGAGGTGGAGGGGTCAGACGTAGAGTCAGGAGGGTTGGAGGACTTAGAGTACTTCGGGTTCTTGCCTGATTTCGCATTCTGCTTGGAGGAGTCGGGTGAGGTAGCTCGATCTCTCAGACAGTGCGACAACTCGCCCTTGCGCTCCCAATATCATCCATCGATATCTTGGGCAAGAGAGCACATGTCATGCAACGAGCGTGGCTTACCGTAACAAGTGATCTCATCCTTGATCCTATCCGGCAACCCATTATAGAAATGGTGCCTCAAGGCAACCTCACCGTATCCGGGTAGCTGTGAAGCATTGCGATTAAACTCGACGACGTACTTGGCGATCCTGTGATTATCCGACATAGTCAGAGTACTCAGACGACGCTCAGCATCACCAAAGGGGTCGTGCAGGCCGAAGTTCTCTTCGAGTTCTCGGACGAAGAGTTCATAGTCGTCCATCCAACGTGGACGGCGACACGGGTTACCATGTAGAAGTTCAGGCTCAAACCAACTCAGAGCGATCCCCTTGAGGAAGGACGTAGCGTAGATGACTTTTGTACACTCGTTAACAAATGCTTGGGGGCGGTTCTGGAAGTTGAGTTCGCACTGAACAAGGAAAGTGCGGAGTTTCTGAGGGTCAGTACCGTCAAACTGGTCAGGCTCACGAAGCTTCGTCCTACGGCTGGGGTCTGGAGGTTGACGAGTGGCAGTGGTTGAGCGGGCCAGGGCGGCAATAGCATCCGTCAACTGGGCCAACACACAGCTACCTGGGTCATCTGGCAGCTGATCCTCAGGCGGATCATCACCACCGTCATCATCACCACCACCATCACCGTCACCACCACCATCACCATCACCACCACCATCACCGTCACCACCACCATCACCGTCACCACCACCATCACCGTCACCACCACCATCACCGTCACCACCACCATCACCGTCACCACCACCATCACCGTCACCACCACCATCACCGTCACCACCACCATCACCGTCACCACCACCATCACCGTCACCACCACCATCACCGTCACCACCACCATCACCGTCACCACCACCATCACCGTCACCACCACCATCACCGTCACCACCACCATCACCGTCACCACCACCATCACCGTCACCACCACCGTTACCACGGTTGGGTGGGGCATCTGGCGGGTCCAGAGGATTAGCGGGATCAGGACGTGGAGTAGGGTTACGAGAAGCTTCGGGGTCATAGTCATCAGCTTGGCTGTCCGGATCGACATCTCTCTCAACAGCAGCCGCCTCGTCATGGTCTTGGAATATGGAACGACGGAATCGACGGGAGGGTGCAGGAGTGGAGGAGGAAGTAGGGTCGTCACGGTCAGCCGTAAAGCTTTGGAATGGCGGACGTTCAGAAGGGTCTAGATCGTGTCTGCGCAAAAGTTCTTCAAGCATCCCGAGACCTGGAAGCCTAGAAGAACCAGGTTCGGTGCGTGTCTGTGAATGGGTTTGATAAGCTCTAGACATAGTTCAGTGAAACAATGATAGAGCAAGGAAAAAACGTAAGAGCGATTTGAGTTCGTATATACTGTCAGGAACGTGCCAGAAGCGTATCCGGGTGACCCGTGAGGCGCGTGAGGTCGTCCGGGCTCATAAGGTCGGAGGGGCGGGACTTTAGCTTCAGCGACTCAGGTGGAGCGCTGCACTTCATTCTTACGTTGGTGTCCCAATTTCAGACAGAAGCCTTACAATGAGGATAAGAGTTTAGAGGGGGAATCCAAGTCGATATACGAACTGAGGTACATCCGGTGTAACCTACATGCGTTATAAACACAAGTAACTAAATGAGACCGGCCTGGAAGGAGTGGCGGATCAAGCGCGATATTAATGAATGAAGAAAGGAACAAATAGTTAATATCGGCAAACTTGATCAACAAAAGGCAAGCAAGGAACAAAAGGAAAGAACAATAGTCCGTAAGCGGACAAAAGAGAAAAGGCCATCCGGCCGTCTAGCAAGCCATCCGGCTGGGGGCGGACAACAATGAAGCGGGCAACCTAGGTTGGTAGGTACACGTGCGAGGGAGGAAGTGCGGATGAGGGTGACGGGTGGACGGATGGGTGGACAGATGATGATGATAGTGGGAGGGACGGACCAAGTGGCACTAGGGCGCATGGAGGGAAGTGATGGATATGTCGGGTCGTGACACAACAACATTGCCACGTTCCTCAGTGATCCTCTGGACACCTGAAGTCACCAAAACAGTAGGCGCACTTGTAGGTGCACAGGGGACAGTGCCACTCAGAGGATGGTCCATGGTCTAGCGGGTTTGTTCAACAATGGTGACTTTGCTCTCGTGACTATGATATTAGGAGTTGTCCGAATTATATTATGCTTACGCATTGTTATGTTGTTCCCTTTGGCTTTCCAGGAATTAAACCAAGTCATATGCTCTTTGTGTAACCTGGGGCAGGGCTGATTCAGACTTTCAAGACCTCTCAGCACGGAAAACACGAGAAAAAAAAAATTTTTTTTAAACAATTTGGTTTGCACCTGCTTCATGCACTACTCGGACGCTTTCCAACGCATGTTGAATCACCAAAATCGGCCGAGTTTTGAGTGAGCAGTGATGCGAAAGATTTTGCGGAATTTTGAATTTCGGAGTTTGCCTCGAATTTTGCAAATGGCAATAATAACTCTGTTTTTACATCAGCAGGAAGAGGGGTCAGGATCCTTATCCTGATCAGGTTTGCGATTCAGCAAACCAGCTCCTCCATGAATCCCTCAGGGTCACTGGGGGACAAACTACTCAGGTCCCTTGAATAAGACCTGAGAGTGGATTCAACGAATCCGTCATGGGGGATAGTTGAGCTCACCATCCGAGGGTGGACAGAGCTTGCAACACATGGAACTTGGGAGCTAGGCTCCCTTTCCCTCTTTACTGGGGAAACCACTATGGGATGTGAAGCCCCTCCAAGAGGGTCTTGGAGGGTACGGATGGTTGGCTGTGGGGTCGAGATTTCTTGTCTCGATGCCCTGAGAGGAATTTGTTGGGCATCCACCCGACTGGGCCAATCTTGGCCTAATCTTTCAAGGGCCCCACTTTGTGGGTCCTGCGTGGTAAATCGACTGTAGGAACCTAGCCTACATCTGATCTCCCGGGCATGATTGTCCAGACCTTCAGGTCTGTGCATGTAGACAGCATCGCCATCCATCTGTGTCCCATATTCCACGGACGTCTCACTAGGTGCACAGGGAGCAAAGATGGTTCTTTGCTTTTTCTTTATTTTGCCCTGTGCGTTCATGACGAGGGCAGGCCCGGAACCGTGACATAGGTTCCAGGTCAATCGCAGATCGCGATCAGTCTCCCCTTCGTCCGTTGAACTTTCCAAAACAATGGGCGCTTCAGGTGCAGGAAGCAGCTGAGGAAGTGGCTGTGTCCTTCTGAGGACAACAGGCAGGCCCTGAGGGCCCCAATTGACACTCTTTCCCTTCAGATAAGAAGGGATTCTCTTTGGTGATGGGGTCGAAGAACTCCCAGGTGCGGGTTCATCAGCGTGAGGGATGTATGTCGTCATCCTCACACTGGGATGCCCGGGCACAGGGCGGTAGGTGGTCGTCCTGACATAGTCTTCATCAGCAGAGACTTTGTCCACCAGTGAGTTTCGTCGCTGGATGGGTTCTCTGTCCCGTCCCCTGACTGGTACGGGTGGAGGCACACTTGTTGCCTCAAACTGGGGTGAGTTTAGAGGGATTTGGCTTCCAGCCAATCCAGGGCTAGGGTGATAAATCCAAGCCCGTAAGTCCTCTATAGCCTCATCATGGCAATTCAGTCATTGATCAATGCTTCTTAGCATCATCATCAATTCATCATGCTGATCGTTCGACAATCCAGGAGTTTTCGCTTGTGGTTTGGTGCCACCCACATTGACAACTTCAACTGAGTTGTCAGGGCCATCACCAAGCCCTAACGCTTCACCCGATCTGAGAGGATCAGGGGAACCAGGCGCATCAGCGAACGGATCAGGTCCAACTGGCATGTTGGGTGGGTCTTCCTCAAGGGGAAGAGGTGCGACCACAGCAGGTACAACCGTGGTCGTGGATTGGGAAGGGCCCAGCGCATCCAGGTCTCCTGGTGGACCTGGGGATGTGTCGGGGTTGTCTGTCTCTCCTGGATCGGGAGGGATATCAGGCGTGTTAACGCTGGGAACCCCTGCACTATCCAAAGTCTGCGCGTTGTTTTGCACAGCCACCCTCGTCCTCTTTGCAGAGGGCGAACCCAAACCTTTCTTTACCATGGTGGTAACGAAAAGTCGGGAACTTCAATTAGATCGGTGCGCTTCGCGATGTTGATCGAAGAAGTTGAAAGGTTTAAATTTGTTTGCTCACCAAGTGTAAAAAAGTGTAAGCATTGTTTAGGTTGAGTTCACGAGTGATCTCGCGATAGTCAGATTTTGCCTTACACTCCCAGTCTGCTGAAGTACGCTGTATGAAGCTGTATTTATCAACGGGGGGGGGGGGTAAAAGGCTGGGGAAGCCTTTACCCCCCTCACATGTAGGTTAAATACAATGTTGTATATCCATGTGATAGTTGCAGCTTGGGACCGCATGGTAGAAATGAAGGGTTCGGGAATAGAAGTGTCGCATCGGGTACAAACCCGACGCGATAAATAAAGAATGAAGAATGAATAAGGTAGGCCACGAGTATGCGGCCTATATCCCTTACAATGACCTTATCCACAGAGTCATTACCTTGCCGCAGAGTGGCAAGCTTCTGTCATGCGGTGGCTTCCCAGTTGGGGTCTTGGAACATGGCATCAAGTTCTGCCATGAACTTGTCCATGATGATCATGGGGGACCCCACCATCAGCAGTGCAATCATGCATTGTGTCACCCATGCTCCTGCAGCTCCTCCCTTCATGTACATGTCAGGGCACAGCCCTTGACCCCACTCACCCTCAGACACCCTCACCCTTCTCCTAACCACCCTCTCTCCACATTTCCCCATTTCCCCTTATCCTTCCCCCCACTGTTTCACATAATGACGCGCACGCGCGAACCCGTGGGAACGTTCTGGGCGAGCGACTCGCCCAGAAATGTACAGCCACAACCGTGGGAACATTCTGGGCGAGCAGCTCGCCCAGAACTTTCCCACGGGTCACACCCGTTATGGAAAGTCGGCAGCAAGCGGGAACTGTATAGTTCCTAGGGTCCTTTTGTGTCGGCCTCACAGGGGGCTGAGAAGCTTACCCTTCTTCTCAGCTCATTCCCTGTGAAGGCAAGTGTACTTACCCGCTTTTCAATGAATACCAGCTCATTCCCTGTGAAGGCTGAGGCCAGTCCCCTCAGCGACTTCGAGGAGTTAGCACCTGGGGAGAGTACCCCAGCTTCCACACCCGGCCTCGCCCTCTGGCCACTCCCAGCTGGGGTCCGGATCCTGACAGTACAACAGGACAAAGAGGATCTGGGACAGGGTGTCAGGAAACTCTGCAGCGCGGACATGGAAGTAGATTCTGCATTCCACTTTGAAGCGGTTGAGGTCCTCACTCGTGCCAGTGAAAGCAGTGGGGGGGGCAACCTTGGGTGCTTTGGGCTTGGGCACAGGTTTGGCTATGGGTGCAGGTGTGAGCAGGGCTGGTGGGTTTTGGACATGACCCTCAAGGATGGCCTGCAGTTCCTGGAACCTGGTCAGCAGGTCCTGGTACTGCTCTTCAGTTACCATGCTGGAGGAGGCAGGGGAGATTAGGTTGAAGCCTTCTTCTGCTGTCAGGGACGGCTCTGAAGAGGTGGGGGTAACAGTGTAACGCTCGGTGCTAACAGCCCAGACAGTGGTGGGGCAGTGAGACTGTATGGTGGGTAGCCCTCACTCAGGCTGATGTCCCTGTGTGGCTTCTTAGGCTGAAGCGGGAATGGATTGTTATTAAGATGAAGAGCTAAACTAGGTTGAAACACTTGCCTGAAGTGGGAATGAGAAGAAGGCTGCTTCTTCAGTCCCGCTTTGGCTAAGTTTATATACATGTGAAAATGGGTCACGTGGAGGTGCCATGTCAACCTCAGATGGAGCTGGGTTGTTGCAGGCAACTCCACAGTCAATCCCAGGTGTGAGAGAGGAGAAACACAAGTAGGGATGTGCAGCGCATCCGGCATCATGGTACCCATACAGGGTGCTCAGTGTTGGACACATCTGTATAAGGAGAGAAAGGAGGAAAGGAGGAAGGAGAAAGAGGGAGAGAGAGAGAGCGGAGAGGGGTGCAGTGCAGCGTGCCCTGACATGCATGCAAGCGTGCATCATCCATTCCTTACAGAGCTGTTCCTGGACCAGCCAATCTCCTCCTGATTCTCCCAGTGCTCTCCATACTCCAGAGCACTCAGGAGCATAATGATGTTTTGCTGGTGTCGTGTATGTGTTGCTGAGGGTTGGAACCTCAGCTTTGTCTATGACTAGGTTTTCAGGCAATACTTGACTTGGACTGACAAGCAATCCCTGACACTGAATGCACATTTCAATCTGTGGATATGGTTCAGATTCTTGGATTGGGTATGGAGTTTATTAAACAAAATTTACTGCAACAAATAGATTATTATAGTCACTTTTCTAACAAGAGTGTGCTGTGAAAGCACTGAATGGACCATGAAGAATAAATTAGTATATTGCCTCTAAACACTCTGCATACAAATGAAGATGGCATATTTAATTTGGAATGTTAGAGGGTTCCTCCCAAACTGGATGGCCAAGCTCGCAGTGCAGCACCGAAGGCGCTGCAAGCTCGGCCATCCAGTTTGAGGGGAACCCTCATAACAATTGTAGCCTGGTCCACCTTCCTCTGGTCACATATTTCGGAATTACATATATAGAAGCGACAGCAAGGAATTACATAAGCATGACACAACGAATGCGATACTTTTTTTCGAAGCACTTTGACCTAGCGGTGGCCTCTTGCAACCTAGAACCGACGCCATCGACGATTCCGCCAGACTTGGAAAGGCAGTTTCCAATCTGAAAATTGTAATGAAGTATGGAAAGCATTGAAGTCAACGCTTTCCAATCTGCTCAGATATGAGGCGATGGGTACCTGGAAAACAAACAGTGTTGATGAAGCGAAAAGAAACACGCAACGCCACTTACTCCAGAGAGGAAGATGGGTAAAACCTCGGGTGGTACCTTGACGATCGAGAGTCCATCCCCCTTAAAGGTACCTTCGGCGAAGATGGATCGTGCTACATCGAGTCCTTCTTTCGCAACGCAAGCAAACTCGTACACTGCATCACTGACGCCCTTCGCGCTGCCTCCATAGCGAAAGACATCTTCATGAGAAACACTGTGCTTTGCAGTGACCTCAGTAGGTATTGGCATATATCGCTTCGAAGCATGATAAGGAAGGGAACGAATGAGAGTGATGATAGTCTGTGCAAATCCCAGATGAGATGCTGCATGTGAGAAATCGGAAAGTCGGGAGGCGCCAGGTCCCTGAGGATGAACAAGCAATGGAATAAGGATATATAATATGGTGGACGACGTAGATTCGGAGTAGGCGCGAAGAGACTCCATTGTCATATGATGTGCATTATCGAAGTCTTGATCCTAATTCAGAACCGGGGCCGTTAGGTATGTATACACATATGACCGATCCCTCAAATACCAAGTACACACCCTAGCGTCAATGATGCGATTCAAGTGATATTCCGGGATATTAGCTTTTCGCACGGCGTCGTGAAGCGCAAGTGCTACAGGGTGTTGAATGGGCGAGGGCTCCTTTAAAAACAAATGGACAAGTCAGTAACGAGATCGATAAACGAAGCGCGCCAGATAGACCTAGCTTACCCTATACAAGGTGTTCACCGTGTCTCTCCACCATTGCATACGTATACGTCCGAGCGCAGAGTTGGAAACCTGATCCTTCACTGTCGCCGTTTCTATCTTATCAGTAATGAGACAACGCCATGAGGCTGGAAAAAAAACCGATGCGAAGCTTACATTGAACGCCCGAATAGCGAAGAAAGATGGTCGAATGCTTGGAGGATAAAAATATGATGTCAGAAAAGCATCTCTGTCAAGCCTCTGAACAAGATTTTTGCAGTAATCGGCAGTCTTCACAACCCTAGGACGCGCAGAAGTCCACACTAAGCGCGAAGAAGTTCCAAGCGCGCTTGTTCGAGCACCTATTGATGACGTACTTAAGAACATCAATACTGTTTGGGCCGCAACGACCCTACACATGTGACGAGCTGAAAAGCGCGCGCCAAACGCTTGAATTGACACAGCACCGAATCGAATCGAATCGAACAGAATGCCCTGTGGATATTTGGGCAGTCGCAGAATATACCAATGTATGCACGGTCCGACTAGGGTAAAAGGAAGAAGAAAAAGAAAAAAGAACATTCGTCACTTTAAGCCTCGATCGGTCGATCAGCGAAAACTGGCCATCAGCCAAATACACGAAAGTTTAGGTAATACATGGGATGAGACTGTAAGAGAGCTTGAAGGGGACGAACCTACACAGCCTAGCCGAGAGGAATGGAAAGGATACCAAGATAAAACGCAGACACGATTTGCAGGATGCGGACAAATAAGCAAATGAGACAATTCGCAGACCCAAAGCTCCAATAGGAAGGAAGTATAGGATTCATATGCGTATTATGCTTTCATTCACCATGCATGGGGGGTCCAATGCACCGATTGCACGACTAGAAGAATGATTAGGAGTAGAGTGTGGAAAGAGGAAGCAGCGAGCGCGAGGAAAACACTAGAAGGGGACGTGTGTGTCATTGTAGGGATTACGAAGAAATGCTTGGCCTGAAAGACTTCCACATCCGATAGGCGCCTTGGTCGTATCCATTAGATCTTCCACTTGACAGCAGCACTCGGCGTGTAAGGTCCCAAAGCTACTAGGATTGGTTGCCCGGATTCGCACCCGGCGGAAGTGAGCTCTTGCGCGGGGACTGAGGCCCGCCCTGCTCATTATTTGGGGTAATGGGGGAACGCATATCTTTCAATGAAGGAGGGGCTGCGATGAGAGGCGATCCAATACTAGTCGGCTGGCGATTGGTGATGGTATTGGATGCAATGTTAAGAACGGGGCTTTGATCGTCGCTTGATGCTTGCGACAGGTCATCTTCCACCAGGGCACCATCCCCCTCTTGTCCACCCCTATCTTCGTCAAGTTCATGTAGCTGCGCCCGGAGCGAAGATGTCTGATCCCGCTGAGGCGGAGCATGAAGCCTCACCGGGCCACTAATGACCCCATTCAAACCTGCGTTGCGGAGTATAGCATGTAACGACTCCTCCGGGCTCTCATCCATGAGTTCATCACCACTGTCCTCAAAATCTTCTTCGTCATCGGGCTCGACATCGTTCCCAGCACCGAGACCCCCACCCGTGAAACTGTTTCCAAGATGGAGAGGGGAATTAAATCGGTTCCACAATCCACTGGGTCGTAACAAAGGTGTGTGTCCAGGCGAATCCTCGCCAAGACCGCTGCGTACCGCTGCAGCATGTGCATAACGGGAAGCTGAGTACAGCGGGCCGAAGGAGCGTGGGGTGTCGTAACCGACTTTCTTCTCCACCCGATCAATGATCCAATCGTACCATTGATCCAAGGTTCGCCCGTGAAGAAGCGCAACGATTAGGATCGTCATGTTATCACATCCGACACCACCAGCAACATCGGAATCGGGAGAAAGACAGCGGGTCATGCAATCTTCGCAAATCTGTTGCAACGATTTTCGCTCCGTGATCTGATGTCTCACCCAACTCATAGTATCTTGGGAAGACATACAGTCCCATATACCTAAGAAGTGCAGTGATGAGCATCACAACTGGGATTCAAAGAAGCTGAGTTATCGTACCGTCACAAGCCATCACAAAGAATTCATCATCCGAGGAAATATCATGAACTATGATGTCGGGGTCCGAAGTCACGATCTGCCTTTCGGGGGGTAGGGCGAAATTTTGTTTGAACTCAAAGTCACCAATGGCACGCGACAAGGCAAGGTTGCCTTGTGTATCATGCCGGATGAGAAATGACTCATTGCAAAAATACATCCCACTTACCGTTCACGCGATTAAACTCTACGTAACCCCCCGCAGAATTGATGCGGCTGGTTTCGGCTAGAGCAACCTTCTACTGAGTGCAGGAACTCAACAATACGGAAATTACGTACACCAGTTCTGAGGCTTGTGGTCGTAACTAAGAGGTTTGGCCTCCCTCTAATCGACAGTACTGCACGAGAATCACCCGCGTTGGCCTGGACGAAGGTTAGTTTTGTGGGGAAAACGACAATTTCGTGAGAACCGCTTACACATATTATCTTGTCTGCCGTGACGAGGGCCGCGACCGCAGTGCACCCGGATGGATCATGAAAATAGGTCGGATCTGAATTGAGGTAGGCAACGATTATTATGATCACAAAATCGGAAGTATGGTATATTACCAGCTCGAAGGTCATCATCAGTGCCCAAAAATGTTCTCTTGAAAGCCGTAAGATAGTCTTTCGCGATGTAAGCATCATCAGACGCCAATCGTTTATGTACGTTCTTCCCCGCATATCGAGCGATCGTCCCACCTATCAAAATAAAATGGTGCATGAGTACCGCGAAAGACGCGACCGAGTCATGCTAATACCTCCGTGACCATCGTACACAGCAAAGAATGAGTTATGTTCACTCTCATCAATATCAAGCTCTATAGCATGCGCATCCTCCATCGCTACAAAACCATCAGAACCAATGCGAAGCTTTCTGTGAAACGCACAGGCGCGAACTACGCACAGATTCGCCACCCTTGCATTTCCGACACAGCGAACGCTAGCCTATCGTTGCTGCCAAAAGTCGTTTTCTTCTCTTGAGCTGAAAATGAAGAGTCACCCAACGAATCACCAAAATGGTTATTCACGATTCGGGGTCGTAGCGGATACGGTATTAGTGTTGGCGCTTCTGGAACAGGGCAAAACAGTAAAGTTATATCGAAAAGTTGACGCACAAGGTTCGGAGAGTGTTTGACCCTGATCGGCAATTAGAAATGCATCGGAACACAGTCTGAAAAATGCATGCAACCGATGAACGCACCATATCTTGCGAAAGGAAGTTTCGGAGGAGGGTGGAACGTGAGAGAAAGTATCGGGGAAAAGAAATGGGAAATGGGTGCAAGCGCTCTGAGCGACTGTCTTATAACTGGACTAGATGTCCTCGGAAGGCACAGGCGCGGATGGGAGGAGAGAGACAAAGCGGTGCCAGTTGTGCACGCGAGTTGACGAGAAGACAGAAACGATCGCAGGAAAACTAAGTCAACTGTGTTCCCTCCGGATGCAACTTCGCATCCAGGCGCCCGACTTGCCTGATTTAATGTCACCAACCTTGCTTCGAGGATCAGATCGATCGTCTAGTACCTTCTTGCCTGCGTTTTGCTTGCGTAACCCTGCAGGCTTGTGTCTTGTAGTTTTACTTAGCGTTTACATGCAGTTTGCAGCATGGGAACATTCATTGATCCCTATCTCGGCCATGCCTTTCCGGGCATTGTTGGCCCCGCTCCGTGGGCGCAGTCGAATCTTAGTTATTGATGTCTCCACATAAATATGTGCCCCTGTAGGGTATCGGGAAGAGACCCCTAGACGGACATGCCTCAGCAGGCGCCAGATGCCGTCGACTTTTGTTTTGTGGATCGATGGACTAGTATTGACGACACAGCATATCACAGCCAGTAGTTCTACACGATGTCCTGGACAATGACGAGCTCATTCTCGCACAAGCACACGATCGTGAACTTGTCTAGACCGTTGCTACTCAGTAACCCGGCAACTCCCAACAGTGCTCCAGCAGTGCCACCCCTACTTTCAACACAGCCTGCTTCGCCCACTTGGCTCCCCTTTTGTCAATGCCGCGATAAACATATGCGTTTCCCCCTCCGATTGGCGATGCCGCCCCGCTCTCAAAAGCCACAACAACCTTATCACGAAGGTGAAACGTGAACCGAGTGTCTCGCTTTGAGGCAAGGACAAAAGCTAGAGCAGAAAATGTTGAATCGTGTTTCCATGCAGGAGATTTGCCTTCCACTGAGGCATCATCGCAATTGAATAATAGGCCATCAACTCCGTTCTTAATTATGATGCTCCACGCCCCCAGAGCCTTGGCATCATGGTCGGGGAGTGGCAACGGCACTGGGTGGGAAAGTAGATCGAGTGGCCACTCGTATCCACCTGGAGGCAACAGGGCAACGCCATCGTCCGCCTCCCTCCACATCATAATCAAGCTCCTACCAACGTTGTCGTCTATTTCGTCATCCACCTCTTTCCGTGAGAGACTCGGGAGACCTCTGCCTAAATCCAATCCACCGGGGTCCTCACCAGACAGGACGGCACTCGTATACTTTTCCAATGCTTCTCGTGCTGCATACAGCTCGGTCGGGTCAAGCGTTTCTGGGACGTCCGAATCTTCATCGTCCGGGGGTCGGCCATCTGTAGAAGTTGTCCCGGATGAAGCGAATACATGAGGCCAACGAGTCTTTTCGTGTCGTTTTTCCAGATACAGTGTTAATACACCGATCGTAGGTCCTCCGGCATCGAATCCAGAAGCCGCGGCATACTCTCTGTCGCCATCCTTATCCCACGTCCAAAGGCTGGCGCTCGCATCGATCTCGCCCCACCATGGTTTCTTAGCGAAGAACGGAATTTTTAAACCCATATTTTTTGCGTCCGCAAGGCTCCCAGTCGTATCGATGATCAGTAGGGATAGATCCCTGGATCTGAGGGTGGCGCGAATGGCAGTCTTTGGAATGGTAACGGGAAGAAAGAACGCGATAGTGAGGGAATCCTCGTTCTGAGTCCATGAATATGGTGGAATAGACGGAGGAATAGGCGTCTTCTCCGCATCAAGATTCTCTTGAGCTCTTGGGATTGGTGCAATCTCTTCCGGAAGTGGATCGCGTGGCGGCAAAGATGTAGTCGCCGAGGGTATTGATGAGGCACCAATGTATGCGGATTCTGCAAGGATCAGGTAACTCCGGAGCCTTGGGGAGTATCGAACGTGCGCTGGAAGGTCGTCGCCAATTGCGGACCACAAGACTGACACATTCCTTGGCCCTGTCACCTCATCCATCGCATCTTCTGCCACTGGGCGGGGCAGCTGCAAGGAGATAGCAGAAAGTCTGAACTGGATTTTATGGTGTGATCTCGCTTTTTGTTTCCTGCCCGACTCAGAAGTAGAGATATCTTGCTCTTTAACTACTTTGTGGGATATCAGGACCCGGATAGTAATTTCATTCCCTCCAACGTCACTTGGTTGCACTGTGTGCGCAACATGCAACCGCATCGGAGTGGTAGGCTCATCGATGTCATCGTGAGGCACGCTAAATGCAGCAAGGAGAACCCCAACAGGGTCTGAAGATTCGGAAGGAGCGGTTGTCTCCTTGACGATGTAGAGGTTTCCTTTACCGTCGGAGATGATCCAGGTATCTCGATCCAGCGCTTGGAGGCAAGGATACTCAGCAATCAGGGTATGCGGTCCTTGGATGATTTTTGGGATTTCGAAAAAGGACGTGAAGTGCGGTTTCCCGTCCTGGCCCTACTGAGGCCATGTGTATATGGATGAAAGAAATCTGAAGAGATGACGACACTCACCAGTCGTACGAGAATCGCCATCCCGTCTTTATCAATATATCCAAGCGTAACCCCGTCCAGTCCAGCAGAGAGGTGGTTGAATGCAATCCGATCCTGCACTTCTTTAAATGATAGTTGAGGATGGAGACCTGCATGTGTAGAATTCGAACCAGTAACTTGCGATGCCCCACCTCTGGGGAGAAGAAAGGACGAAACACAGTCATCTTGGTCGAGAGAACCAAGTCTGTACCCCTCAAATTTGGGATTTATGAGCGCCTTGTCTGGTGTGAACGGGAACCCATCTTCGCTTGACATCCCGATTCCCTGCGCAAGCGCGTCTGATCACATGGTGGCTGTGAAATCAATTGTGGCCCAAATTTCGGTGCTCTCCACCCTCCACTTGGCCACGATGAGTGGGCCACCTGTGAAAGTCCGATACAATGCTAAGGCTCGTGGAGCTGAACCGGGGACATCTGGAAAACGGATGAGGCACACAGCAAAAAAGGCCGCCCCGGTCATTGACAATGTTGATCAGAGTGTTGAAATCAATTCAAGCTCCGCGCAAGGCCCTCCGTCGGAGAATGCTTTATCTGGGAAGGAAAGGCATGAAGCTGAGTGGCAGAAACGAAAGGAAAAAATGAGGACAGAGGTATTCTTCCTATGGTTTTTGGTGAACCATTCCTTTGAAATGCTGACGATTTCCCGGGACGGTAGCTTGTCAACCCTAATAAGAAGATGTCAGGCAAGAAAAAGAAACTTCTGAACAAATATATAGCGAGTGAAAAAATTTTCCTTTCCAGTTCTTTTCCTCATGCTTTTGGCCTGGATTGATAGGAGAAGAAATTGAAGAAAGAGGAACGCCTAACGCTATTCCAGAAACTCACGTATGTGTTACCGAGATACGTTTGCATGCTTACATTATTCAATTCCCCATCGCCAGTGAGACACAAGCCCATGTTTCTCCACTGCTTCTTCAATCTACAGCTACCCTTCACTCCGGACGACCACAGACTCATGCTGAGAGGCTGGCGGTGAAAGAAGATAGACAAGTCCGCCGCGCGATAGATGGGCACGGTTCCTCGCGCAAAAAACGCCGGAAACTTGCCTATTCTGGGATATATGAAGAACCAACCGATGAGGAAGGGGAAGAACTACCATTGGAGCCAACATCAAGGGCTGACGTTCGACAAGCGGCATCGCCGGTCCCAACAGCTTCAGCGCCGGGACCTCCACAGGGTCAGCGCTGTGTATCCCCATTGCACCCGTCATCAGATGCAGGGGCTGGAGTAGCCAAACTGAAACCACGGCATGCGTCCGGGCCCAAGGTGGCCTTAGGAGCCGGCTTGAAGCGTAACGTGGACGGGACGGTCGTTGCCCCACGAGTTGTACCAAAAAAATCGAAAGAAAAATCGAAGGTTCGGCTGGCGGTATGTTTCTTCACCGAGCTGTTCGACTTCCTCCGTTTATTGATTATTATTAGGCGCTAAGGGGAAAGAAATTGCCATCCCCTCCCTCCGACGTTGACATGCTAGGCTCCAGCGCTTCCTCCGAGATTGGGAGCCATGACAAGAGTCATGACTCGACGGAGGAGGGCTCGGGGCACATGTCCTCGAATGAGGATAGCAGTGATGTTGACTCCTCCGAAGTAAGCTCCAAGGATAGTGGAAGCGAGGATGAGGGCGAGTCCCAACCAGCTCCCAGGCCAAATTTCAAAGACTGGGCCAGACGCCAGATGGAGACTGTCAAATCGGCAGATGCACCTTCCAACGAGGCTGTCCTACTCCCTGATGGTTCGGTGCAGCTTGCTGAAAACCTGTTCGAACGACAAGCAGTCCCGCAACGGAGATCAGCGGACGGGGCTGATCAAGTTCCCAAGGGACCTCTAGGCGAGGATCTGCAGCTGCCGCAATCATCATTTGCCCAGGCAATGACCACTCTGCCGCCAACCAATGCCGACGCTTCGGGTCAGGCTGACACCAAGCCCGTAATAAAATATGTTACCGTTGAACGCCCTGCGAGCATACAAGCGCAACGGCTCCTGTTGCCAGTAGTCGCGGAGGAGCAGCCAATCATGGAAGCAGTGAGACTTAACCCAGTTGTGGTGATATGTGGAGAGACCGGTAGTGGGAAAACCACACAAGTCCCTCAATTTTTGTACGAGGCCGGTTTTGGTGTTCCTGGTTCAGGTACGCTTCTTTGAACTGTTATCTTCGAGCCGACTCATTAGGATTTGATACGATTCTTAGAAAACCCTGGAATGATAGGGGTGACGCAGCCGCGGCGTGTTGCCGCGGTGTCCATGGCTGCCCGTGTCGCGCAAGAATTAAATCTGCCCCCCTCGCGCGTCTCCTATCAGATTCGCTATGATGCCACTGTTTCCCTCGCTACGTCCATCAAATTCATGACGGATGGTGTCCTTCTCCGAGAGTTGGCAACGGACCTCTTACTCACCAAGTATTCGGTTATCATCATCGACGAAGCCCATGAGAGAAGTGTGAACACTGACATTCTAGTTGGGGTCTTAAGTCGCGTGATTAAGCTGAGGGAAGAGTTGTGGGCCAAAAAGGAGAAGGGGGCGAAGGTAAGTTTGGAACCAACATGAAGCCATTTTCATTCTGACGTCGAGGCGCATTGGGTTTGTCTCCACCTTCAAAAGCCCCTTCGTCTCATCATTATGTCTGCTACGCTTCGAGTAACAGATTTCACTGAGAACACGACACTCTTCGCTAAACCCCCTCCCGTTATCGATATTGCCGCTCGGCAACATCCTGTAACTGTACATTTCAACCGTCGTACAAACGGGGACTATGTGGCAGAAGCCGTACGCAAAGCATCGAAGATTCATGCGCGGCTTCCCCCAGGAGGCATCTTGATCTTTCTCACTGGACAGAACGAAATTAATGGAGTTTGCGCCAAGTTGGAGAAGTTATATGGAAAGAAGGCGCTAGGTGCTAAACGCAAGAACAAGGCTCAGAGGGAGCGGGACAGAGTCACTTCTGCCGCAGGGGGGGCTGATATTGATATGAGTCACGGTCAGCCCGATCAGACTAAGATAGGTGCGTGAACCGTCTCTGCAGGTCGCCTCGCATTGATTTCATTTTGCAGAGATCGAACTAGAGGACATTGAGGAAGCGGGAAATAATGTTGACCAAGTGGGACTTGTTGACGAGGGTGAGGGTGAAGAAGACCCCGATGCCCTTGACTCGCAAGATGAATTGGATATTGATGAGCCTTCAGACGGTGAGTATGAGCGCAAGATACCAATAGCTATTTGCTACAACTGTTTTTCTAGAACCCATGCATATCGTCCCGTTGTACTCTATATTGTCCAGCGAGAAGCAGATGAAGGTGTTTGAACCTCCACCTGAGGGCTCACGCCTCGTAGTGGTCGCCACCAATGTCGCCGAGACATCTCTCACAATTCCGAATATTCGATACGTCGTGGATTGTGGACGTGCCAAACAGGTGAAGGGAGGGTCTTAAGGACGAAAACATCGCGCTGACTCCAGTTGATCCCAGCGTCGGCATGATATTCACAGCGGTGTCGAAAGCTTTCAAGTTAGCTTCATATCAAAGGCTTCTGCTGCTCAACGGGCTGGACGTGCTGGTCGTGTAGGGCCAGGTCATTGTTACCGCCTATATTCTTCAGCTCTCTACGAGAATCACTTCGAGCAATTTGCTCAGCCGGAGATTCTTAACGTTCCAATTGAAGGCCTGGTGCTTCAAATGAAGAGCATGCATATTGATGCAGTTGCCAATTTCCCCTTCCCAACACCCCCTAACCGCCTACATCTTCAGAAAGCTGAGACTATCCTCACGCATCTCGGCGCACTGGACTCCGGCGCGAAAGCGTTACCATGGTCCCCATATTCGGCCATTGGTGGGCAAATTACTGATCTAGGCAGGACTATGTCTCTCTTTCCGGTTTCGCCTCGTTTCTCGAAAATTCTCGCTTTGGGGAGGCAACATGGGACTTTGCCGTACGCTATTGCCCTTGTGGCTATTATGTCAATTGGGAGTCCGTTCCTGCATGAGGATGCACTGGACATGGACGACGGCGATGACGACAATGAAGTTGATGGAAATGATGCTGAAACTCACAACCTTAGCGAGATTCGTAGTGAAGACCTGCTAGCGAAGGAAAAGAGAAGGATAAAAAGAAAACGATTCTTTCAGGCGCAGCAGGTATGCAATACCTTTTACTCTCCGTGAAACGCACCCACCGCTCTGGACAGGCGCATTCGCAGCTGGGGGTTGGTACCAGCGATTTCTTCAGCAGCTTATCTGTCGTAGGCGCATACGAATATGCGGGCGGTGGGACAGCTTTTTGTGCAGAGCATTTTGTAAGGCTTAAGGTAGGACGATCTCCAAATTTAGTTGAAATGTCCAACTCATGCAAATCAGGCTATGGAAGAGATCCATAAACTCAGGGCTCAACTAAGTAGCATTGTAGAGTCAAGCTTCCCCAAGATAAACGCCGATTTCTCCCCCACTCTACCCCCACCATCTGTCTCTCAGGTAGATGCGTCCTCTTTGTTGCACGACTCTGGGCTCATATTACTCTTAATCACGACCCACATAGCTTAAGATTCTAAGGCAGCTGATTGTCGCGGGACTTATCGACCATGTGGCAGTGCGAAAGGATCTGGCAATGAAAGATTCAGGGGTTAAGTATGCCAATGCGAGGAACGTTCCTTACATGACTCTAGACGTGGATGAGGATATCTTTATTCATCCCTCTTCCATCCTTTTCGGTGGGCCCCCACCTGAATACGTGGTCTACCAAGATATTGTTCGGACAAAACGTGTGTGGATGAAATGTGGGTTGCATACATTCCTCCAGAACACTGGTTTAACACCCTTCCAGCCCTGACGGTCGTAAATCCCGCATGGCTAGCAACGCTGGGACGCTCTTTGTGCACCTTCTCAAAACCCAAGGAGGTTCCTGCAACTTTGAAAGCAGGGACGGGGGACGTTGTGATCCCCAGTTATGGCGGCAAATTCAAACTCCCACCCATGAAAATATAAAACTTGCGATACAAGATGTCATTATGAGCGGACTGCATGAACAACATTATAGGGTTGGACTTGGGGAGTGTTGGGTACTGTTCAAGGAACGTGGTGGTGTGATGCATGACCAGCTGTGGGTCATAAAGGAATAGTATTTATTTACTGTTTATTTCCTTTGGTTCTACCAGGGGAGAAGGTAAATAGTGTTACTGTTTACGACAAGATCTCGTTCACCTTTTTTGGAATGAACAAGCTAGGACCAGGTTTCTGTCGCTTCCCGTTTGATTGCCCCATTGATTGGGGGTTGAGGTTTCGAGATTCCTGCGCGTCGTCGGGTGCCTGGCGCTTGGAGGGAATACTTGACACCGTTGAACTTTCGCTCTGAGAAGCTGGGACGTTTTGTGGCGAAGCCCCAGATGCAGCATTGGGCTGGCTCATGTCACTAGGTCGCCTCAATGGCAATGTCTGTATTGTAGCTATCTTCTTGGGACTGATTCTCGCTTTGGCCACTTTCGGCTGAGGCCTCCATGAGGCCTGCAAATTCCTCGTTACACCGCCAATCTGTGCCGACTGTAGCATTTCATCAACATGGTGGTCTAAACTCTTTACAAATCATGGCTTACGTTCGTAAAGCAGCTTCGTTCTCGAGCATCTTGGACTATCTTGGCCCACATATCATTCGAACGCTCTAACGTTGCGGCATGTCCAAGGATGAACAATGAACATCTAGCACGGGTCATGGCGACATTCATCCGCCGGATATCAACCAAGTGTCCAATCCTCTGAACATTGGGTCCGGCTCGAACGCAAGACACGATGATGATGTCTTTCTCTTGCCCCTGGAAGCCATCGACTGTGCCAAAATCAATGCTGCTCAGAATGCTCCGGGAGAACTTGGCTGAAAATTGCCGTTGGAGTTCGTTCTTCTGAGCATCATACATCGCAATAATACCAACGCGTTGATCAAGGTCTACCCTCGATGAGAACACGTTGCGGAGGCGTTCGTAGAGGCTGACAGCAAACTTGACTTCAGTCCTGTTAAGCAGAGAATGGCCCTTAGCCATTTCTTCTCTTCCATCTGCCACGTCGAAAAACTGGTATGGTCTAAATAATGAATCAGAATGCCATGGCGTCAAACGCTTTGCGGCCATGTCAGGTCCATCTTTCAGTCTCCCTTCATAAAATAGATTACGGGGCAACACGCTGATTTCAGGATGCATTCTGTATTGAATGCTACGCCGATGTGCGACGTCAGCATCAACCCAACCGACAATTCGAGCACGTACCTAAGGAGGTAAGCAGGCTTATGTCTGTTAAGACGGACAAACAGGCTCTGATTGTACATGTGCCTTGCTGCTAGAGGCGAAAGGACTGTGGGCGGTAACTGCATCGGATCTACAAATGAAATTCAACATCAGGCTGAGAAAAGAGGAGCATCAACCAACCTCCAACGAGTATACATTGAGTGCACCGGTACTTGAGAGGGATCAATGAGCTTAACTCTATTGACTGTGCCGCTTCATCAATAATGACGGTCTCGAATAAATACGGGGCCAAGGAGGCATGGCCACTACTTGAAAGCGTGGAACAAATCACATCAGCCTCGTGTAAAATCTGTGCCTCGAATTTGCGAATGTTACTATCCCGAGCACGGCTAATGTTCGTATTGGCGTCCTTCGCAGCATCTAAATTCCGCCCCAATTTCGTTCGTTCACTCTTGAGCTCGTGTAGTTCACGCTGCAGATCAGAAGTTCTGGATGGATTGTCCTTGAGAGATTCCAATTCCTCCAATTTTACTCGGATTTTGTTACCAATCTCTTTCAAACTTCCCCGTAGAGCGGTGAGATCCGTTGTCGTCGGCTCTGCCCCCATTTTCGCGGCCACCAGGACATTTAAGGAAATGTCCTTGATCGAAGGGTTCATTTTCTCCTCTGCGCCAATTCTAACGATCTTGGGGATGTAGAGACTCCCATCAGATTTGCGGAAACCTTGTTTCAAGCGTTGCGCAACTTCATCGATAGCGGCGTTGCTCGGTGCACAAATCAGTAGCTTCTTGGGCGGCTCCTTATCCTCGGAGCGAGACTCGCGACCTACAAAAATTGCGGTGGCAGGCCTCCGTCGGTTCAACAAGAACGTATATGCCAAAGCCACAATGGTGGACGTCTTCCCCGTCCCAGGAGGCCTAGAACTTGACATCAGCTGAGTAAAGCAGCAGTCGCACGCGACAAACCCTTGAATAAGAGAAAAGCCACGGATCTGCAATGACCCTACAATTGCGTTCGCCTGAGGCTCATTGACTTGATGCCTCGACATGCATTCCTTAACGCGTTCGGGCGAAGCCTTAGGAAGGACTCCTCTCTTTGGATGAACTATATCTTCAAAGAGGTCATAATATTGTAACCCTCGGAGCGCTGCGTATTCCCGGTACACGGTACTTAAGCTTGTTTGCACATTTAAGAAAAGGCGATCCGTGTGCTAAGCGGCACTCACCTCATCAAACGAGTCAATTTCCATCTGGACCGAATCATAAGCAAAGAGTCAACCGACGCAAGAGCGTTTGTGAAAGGGCTGCACCGCAAGCCTATACTCAAGCTTTCACGTGCTAACTTTGATTTCTTCACTTTGCATAAAATACTCTTTGGTCCATCCGCTTCCCGCAGAAGAACAATATCGTTCTCGGTGACATACCATCCAGGGGAAATGGCTTCTGAGATAGAGACTTCGAGGTCAAGCCATTTGTCTGTGCGACCTCGTGCGGTGACTTCAGCCTCGAAGGTTGTCGGGATTTCTTCCTTCGTCTTGATGAGTTGACTCCACGTTTCGAGAAGGATAAGCGGTTCGAAGACCTTTGAATATACCTCCATAGCATTTCCAGGAGGGAAAGAATCGGGAATCTTGGAAAATTGTGGTTGGACATCAGGAGGCTCGGAGCCTGCAGAGTCATAGTCCCATTCGAGCCTGCATAATCGCAATCAACGTCTCAGGTATGGATAACTGAGATTATGCGTACACATGGCGGTAGAAAGCACTCAAGTCGGGCTTTAGCCTCAACTCAGTTCTACGAGCCTCCTCCTTCCTTAACGCCTCTTGGTCAACTGTTTGCCGAATCGATTGATTGACCACTTTTATCTGACGGCGCTCAACCTTCGCTATTTTAGGGGAGGGAATCTTTGTGCGCAATTCGTCTGCCCCTGACAAAGCAACCAAATTAACTGTGACGTCGCACTGCGATGCAGATTCAGCCCACCGTTCTCATCTTCACTCGATGTGGCCTCCGAAGACGAGGAAACAACTTCCGGTGCAGGTGCTCTCAACTTCGATTCGATCTTCGATGGAACGGACGGAGTGATGGAGGGACCCGCCAGGATGCCATTGCTTGGGATACTCTCCTTGCCAGCTTGCTGCGCCTTCCTGTAATTCTGAATAGCAATTTCGGAAGGTCGTTCAACTTCAATCGGTTTGTAGGACGGTCTCCCTTTTGAGATTTTGGAAGTTTTCGGCGCGGCAAGTTTTGTGACGAAGTTGGACATAACACCCTTGGCCCCTAGAGTCGAAGGGGGGATGACGACAGCAGACTGAGTCGTAGATTCACAGGGGTGAGTGTTTGAGGGCACACATAACAGTACTGGCCACGTACCATTCGCAACCTGGATCGAGAATCGTCCCGAGACGTCGATTCGGTACGCAGACTTTCTGGAACGACTCTTTGAGACTCCTTGCGTTCCGCGGGACCGCTTGAAGTCCCCAAGTATTCGATATCATCATCATCATTACTCGTTGACGCAGGCGTCTTTGGAGTAGATCTTAGCTTCGGAGGCTGAATAATGGTTACATCCTGGTCTAAGAACGGTTCCATGACAGCCATAAGCTCGGCCAATTTGCTGTCATCCAGCTGCGTCTTAGTACCCTTGGCCCGCATCGCGTATCGCTCCAATAATGTGACAGCAGAACGGGGAGGATTTGTCTTTGACAACGCAAAGAAGGCGAACAGAGACTTCAATAGTTGGTGGGACTGGTGCAGAGTCTCTTCATCGGTTAATTTCAACCACTCAATGAGTTCTAACAGGATCACGCAAAGATCCGCTATGAGGTTGGGGGTCTCTGCATCTGATGAGGACGCCAGCCGGGCACCTGCACGATTTGTGGCGGTTTGCAAGACCTCGACGACGGCAATCATATCTCGTCCAAAGATCAGCGCATCACGCATCCAGACCACCATCTCTTCATAGGGATAAAAAATCGACCACGACTTCACTAAACGGAAAATAATCGAAAGACCATCCGTCATGCGTCTCCAAAGCTTGGGAACATATGCAAAGAGCGGTAGATTTTCCGAGTCCCCGTAATCATCATCGAGCAAGAGTCCCGACGCTGCATCTCCAAGACACGATAAAATGTCTGTCATACTGCGGACAACATACTTTGATGTTCCACAAGCCTCAGGCATCGCGGAAGCATAGTGGTTGAATGTTGTAAGATAAGATATGAGTCCTTTGAATGAAGCCGTAGGATGGTTTTCCAGGAAAGCCTTATAGCATGCAGAACGTTCCACCGCATCATAAGCGTTCAGCCCGAGCGCCTTCGCGGCCCCATTCAAAGAGTCTATAGGGCACAGCATAAGCTGAATGGCATCCTCCGTGACTCCTTCTTTCGACAAGAATTTCACCAACGAGTCGACTCCGGCTAACTCGGCAAAGGACTCGAGGGAGGGGCCAAACGAGTCTCGAATAGTCCCCAGTGCACCCCAAACGTTATGGGTACATCGCACAAAGCGACTTCGAAGCGCCTGGTCTGTTTTGAGAAAGCTGGACGAGAACGCTTCATCCGGGCCTATCCGAAGACGATCAACGTGCGCGACGCGAGTCACTGCTGGAAGCACCAGAGCAATGCCGTCCGCATGATTCGGGTGAAGTCGACCATACACGCTTTCCCAAAGTTGTGTGTGAATCATTACACCCTGAGGTAGAGGTGAACATGCTTCAACCGACGACACTGAGGGAGCAGCCGAGCGTGATATGAAGATCCTGGAAAGATCCCTCCGCGCACGACAAAGCTCGCTTAGACATTGTAAGGCAGCCTCTGCATCCCTCATCAACAAACGTTTGAGGACTGTCTGAGCTGTCTGCCGAGGATTGTTCCATGCGGGTGACTGGTACTGTGAACCTAAGGCTACTGCCGTTATCACAGCCGAATGAGTTTCGCATAGTCGCAACATTGTGAGCTGCTGTACTGCATTCGATTCTTCTGTTGCCCGTCCGTGAAGTGTCAATAGAACCTGGAGGGGAACGATTAGTTGGATCTCGATAGATTGACATGATGATACTGACCTGAAACAATGTCTCGAACGCATACACATGGACACGGTCGCTGTATATAGCATGCTGAAGTTCCTCCCCAAGGTAGATAAATATTTTTGCGAATGAGCTCGAAAAGGCCTTCGATGACCACAGAGATTGGAGGTATGGGAGAATCCAGTCTAGGGCCCAATTGTGTTCAGCATTGCGCCCATCCTGTAGCGCATGAGGCATCGCTTGATTGTCCTTAATGGAGTCTAACACAACCCCCGGCAACTCTGGCGCGTCCTCAAACCACAGAGATTCGCGTAAGATTGCAATAACTTGCAAAAAACACCTCAATACACCCTGGAAATCTATACTCTGGTTTGAATATAATCGCGACATATAAAGATTCAGCCAGTACTTACTAGTTCTATCGGAAAGATGGCTCAGCAGGAGACGCGGAAATTGTTTACGTCGTGAATTAAAAAGCTCCAAAATTGCTGGCAGGCAAAACAGTTGGAACGCGTTTGGTAGAAGATCCCACAGTGACGCGCCTCTTGTAGACGTTTCAAGCAAAGAAGTAGGTTTGGGCTCCCCGGTCGGACCTGCGTTTCCGGATAAGGTAACCAGCACCTCACCAAATATTATCGATACGGGACCGTCGAACTTCGTGAAATATGGAAAATGGGATCTACTGGTTTCAAACCATTCACGTATATGAGGTCGACTGTCAAGAGCCAGCAGAGGAAAGGCACAAGGAGGTTGAGTTGGCTGTAGGCCCGATGCGTTAGAAATCGACCTAGTCGTTAAGAAATCCATAAGTGGCGCGTCTTGAAGAAGATACGGGCTACATAGAATGCGATATGCGATTGGAAATGGTATGGGGGTTTTGAGTTCTGTCGAGTCCTTTGAATGAATACGTTGTATGCAGATCTCCGTGACATCGTGTAATTCCCATTTGTCTATAGCTTCAAAGAACTTGTCTAACGTTGCGGGCGCATAATCGGAGAGATATCTGATAATAATGTTAATGACACAAGCCACCGACCATTCGGTATTCATGCTCACGAAGTCCGGCACAAGGGTTTTGCACATTGGTATGCATAGGAGCAGTCGCAGCACGAACTAATCACCTGCAAACACATACTCTTCCATATCGGTACATGCGGACCATTGTATGCGTGAAGGCGAATGAGGAAGATGGCAGACTCTTTCACAACTGGAGCAGCTTGATCACAGTACCAATGAAACAGATCGGGAGCTGTGGCATCTTCATTATGTCGAGTCAGGCACTTGTAGCTCTCGCGCATCAGCTCATCTAGCTCAAGCTTAGGCAAAGATCCAGGGTCGAGAGCAGAGGTTCGCAAGTGCGTAAGCAATTGAGCACTGTCATAATGTGAAGCCGTCGGCATGTGCCTTTTCCTCTGTCACCCGATGACACGAGAAACTGGGTAGCCAATCTCGCGTCCGTCAAGGTTGCTGTTGTTGAATTTGGCACGGGAATTTTGGCGTCGTCACAGTGATTTACAATTGAACTGACACGTGGTCATTTTTTAAATTCCGCCCTCAGCACGCATGAGCTAGACATGGGTTTGCTGTAAAATGTTTGCACTTTTATGACCCCGAGACCTTTTTAAGCGATAATTGGAATTTGCATTTTTTGTGAGTTTAGGTTTTTCACCTTTGTGTGCATTTTTCTCAACAACGGCCAGGCAGAATCAGCGAATAACCCCATATTTCAGGACTTTTTTCCTCTAGTCGATAGGCTGTACATTTAGTTTCAAGGCTCCTTGCTGCCCAAACGCCATCCCATTCCACCCAACCATTGTTGAGAAAATCGTGCACACACAGAATTCCGTGAATTCCATTGCCGCAGGAAACATGTAAATGACAAAAAAACCAAAAATGCGACTTATCGATAACTAAAAAAAAAAAAAACAAAGTCCCGAGGTGAAAGGCAAAACTCCTTGCTTTCGGCACATTCCACTGAGCCACTGTCAAGTAAACCATCTGCAATAGATATTATTGCCGTGGGGAGCATGTAAACGATAACAAACTAAATACACAGACTAACTAAAGAAAAAAAAGGTTGGCCGTTGTTGAGAAAAATGCACACAAAGGTGACAAACCTAAACTCACAAAAAATGTGAATTACAGGTATCGCTCAACAAGGTCTCAGGGTCATCAAAGTGCAAACATTTTACAGCAGACATACGCCTTGTTTTCAGGCGCGGAATTAAGAAAATTCCCACGTGACAATTCAATTGCAAACCGCTGGAAGTCCGTATCGGGTCCGAGATTATGTCCGTATGCACACACTGCGCGGTCTGCTTATCTGTTCGATCGTTCGTCCAACCACAAATCGCTTGCCGCTCATGCACCCTTCGAATAGGATTGCCGTAGTGCAATTTGACCCCCAGGTTGATACACTTCGAATATTTGGTATTGCCTCAACGCTCACATCAGACCTCACAAAGCTCGGAAAGGTTAGGGAAAACATATCCAAAGTCGAGGCGCTTACGGCCCAGTAAGTGTTATTCAGATATCCAATGCCCCCTCTCCAGGGTAATGATGAGGCTTCAAGGCTTCAGCCTGGATCGGTTGATCTGCTGTGTTTTCCAGAGATGGCATTCACTGGTTCGCACCCAAGCGTCATTATCATTAATCACAAAAACCCGATTGTTACCAGGCTATTGCTTTGCAAGCTTCTCCGACATTCGGCCCTTTTTAGAAGACTCCATTGACGGCGAAACTTCACGGTTTTGCTGTTCGATCGCAAAGAGGCTTCGTTGTCATGTAATTTGTGGCTATCCTGAGAAATTGTCTGGATATTCCGAGTCTCGCCAATCCGACGACTTGGCGGCTAATTCTGCCATACTGATCTCTCCGGAGGGAAAGCTACTAAGCAATTATCGTAAATCCAATCTTTTCGAGTTTGACAAGCCATGGGCTGAGGCAGGTGGGCCACAACTCTTGGTGACCACAATGCAAATGAAGCTCAAGTTAGATTTCCAGGGAATGGATTTACCACCCTTGATCTTCCAGCGCCCCTAGGACGAACAGTCATAGCTATTTGCATGGATCTCAATCCTTTCCCCCCGGCAGAATGGACAAGTTCAGGGGGCCCATTTGAAGTTGCCGAACACATTCGAGGGACAAATGCAGACACTCTCATCTTTCTATGTAACTGGCTCGACTCGGGCGAAGACCCTGACTGCGAATGGGACACTCGAACACTGCAGTATTGGGTTGCCAGACTCAAACCTCTTTGGGACGAAGAATATGACACAGATCTGAGCACTGATCGGGTCCGTACTGTCATAATATGCAACCGAACGGGGCTCGAACAAGGTTGAAGCCCCACTGTCCACATGGTGATTGTTATTGACTATTACGCAGGAGTTCTTTTTGCTGGCACATCTGTGGTATTCAGGATGTCGCGACGAGATGGTCCGGAAATTGTAGGAATGATGAAGCGCAAAACCGAGGGCGCCCGAATCTGGACTACATAAGCCTTGACAAGAAGACACATTTCTTCCATCTGATTACCTAAGGTCTGCATCACCGCGCTAGACGTGAAATCGAACGTTTTATTCATCTTAGGAATCCCCGCAAGTGCGTTCTCCCCTCGGGAAATCACGTGTGGCGCTGTATCCTTGGGACTTAGGTCTCCATCTCCAGCGTAATCCTTCGGCTCATTTGAAGCAAAAATGTGAGTAAGCCCTTTGGTAAGCATCCGTGCGCCATCTCTGGCAGCAGTCAGTCGAGTCTAAGGTGAAACTGGGACAAACGGCTGTGCCGTTGCGCCAAAAGGGGCTAGCTATGTGAACGATACGAAGGACTCCCACTCCAATCGAGGGCGGCACAGAATCTGCAAACCACAAGATTCAAGGGTGTGCGGGGCAGGCAGTGGATGTCAGGGAAATCTGGTGGAAAGCTTTCTAGCCAGAGTCGCCGGTCAAATCTAGCTGAAGCTCCTGGAAAGGATCCTTCTGAGTGTCTGGAAAGTACCGCAGGATCTCAGGCAGAGGGGATATAATGACTCTCTCATAACAGCATAGTCCTGTTCGCCAACCAGTTCGCCTCTTCAATCCTCGTCAGTGTAGCATGAGCAATCGGGGGATTGCCATGATGGATTCCCAGTGTGCGTTTAATGCCACTACGCAGTGTCTTGGACATGATGCGTGCACTCCCCGGTGCATCCCTACGCTACTCGATAACATCCTTCCCTTACAGCCATTTGCGCTGTGCGAAGGGCTTTATTCCTACGTCGGAGATCTGCGCAACACTTGCCCGTGTTGGGCCTAACATAACGGGAATCATCGGCCCCTAATCCGCTATCGCGCGATCTCATTTGATATGCGATGATGTCTTGATCGCCACTTTATGATGTTCTTTATCGTCATCCGATAGAAAATTAAAAATTCAAGCTGCTAGCTTCAGGGCGAGGCCCCTATGCATCCATCAATGCTTTAACCAATGCGATCGATGAACTGAGCTGGAGCTTCTTTCCTGTCGTTTCCAATCGCGAACTTTGGCCGAGTTGGCCGAAGAACCAGTCGATTGAGTGACATCACTTCCTCATCAGATCGATTCCTGGATGACATCGTTACGATTGATTCACTCAATAGTACTAGCCGTCGAGTCACGTTTAATCTTGCAAATCGTTTGTTGGCTACTGCCCCATTTCGTGTTCCATGGTGGCGGTGATTTTTTGACCGGAAACCTTAGTGACAGCGCTGCACACGTACTGATGAGTGTCCATTATCAAACCACCACATGTACGAGCAGAATCTAGGAAGAGAAAAGGCTACGAATAACTGCAAAGGCCACGATCCAACACTAAAGGCTGGTGTCCTGCGGTCACGATACCAAGGGCAGAGAATGCCCAAGAAAAAGTGAAGTACAACACAGGTGCGGAGAGAAGAAGGGAAGGCTGCGAACATGACATGACATTGGGCAGGACTCCAGCCTATATAATAATACAGATGTTGTCAATGTTAACAGCCAAGAACTACGTTTGGAGCTCTCAGCTCAGCTCAGTCGCTTGCCTGCGTTGGTACGTGGCGCATGGAAACCGGAAGGTTCCAAACCCAAACGAGTAAATGAGCCTTTTTCATGGGTCTATCAGTCAACGGAACCGCGCAACCGCTCAGCATCCCCTCCTTTCCGCACACACAACCCCCACCCTTGTTGTTACGTGCTTTTCCAACGGATAAGTATTGCGGGAACTTCAAGTGGTTTGTTCGGTCGCAATCATTGAACCGCTGAATTCTCACCAGAGGCCAAGTAGCAAAGACACAGGGTAGTGCATGGTTGCGATAGTTCGAGTCAATTGTGTAGAAGAGCAATGAACGAAAACGATCGATGCGAGTGTACGCAAGCGCATAGGGGAAGAGGGAGTTTTCGAGTCGAGTGACTGTAAAGAGAGAAGTGACATTAGGTGTTGAGTGCCTTCCGCCAAATGTCCCACATAATCCCTCTTTGATGGCTCCGACAGTCTCGAGATAAACTACTTACTATTCAAACTATGCCCTCATGGACCGAGTGGGACGCTCAAAGCAGAACGGTTGGGATCGGATGCGGGACGTTTGTGCCAGTGTCGCGTGGGGATTTGGCCGACGAACGAAGATGGAAACGAGGAACAAGCGGACAAAATTCTTCCGATTAGATGCGAACGAGTCCTTACCTCAACACCGTAGTTGAGGAAGTCACCAGGCAAGGAAGGTCGCAACTATTGAAACTACGGTGCGTCGTCTAATCGCTAGAGGATGCAGCGTAGGCTCCAAAACGTGCTGTTTTTATAGCGAGAAGATGGGAATGGCACTTTGGGGCATTGATATGACAGAGAAAGAAGGAAAGTGGCTAGGTAGGACGAGGAGACGAAGGGAAACCTGAAATCTCGGTCAGGTGGCGGAGGTGCTTTATGGCGGAGGGGTGCTCTGACGGGACGCGATCTCAATTGGGAGTCATTGAAATATACAGACTCAAGACGACGATTAGTTGTAGATACCTCGTTGGCTCGTTCAGAAGCGAATAAATTATATACTTTGTATCTGCAATAATGCCTGGCGAAGCATCCCCCATGCCCAGAAATGGTGATCTGCTGTCATGATTCCCTTGAGCACAGGTTCTTGCGGCCTACTTATTTTAGAGGTCTTCCGTCTCGTGGGGGGAGGCGATTCAGCGGTGTTTTCCGTCGACGACACTCCGGCTGCCACATGACTGTATTGGAATGTCTTGGCATCAAGCTGCAGTGCAGCGGAATTCATTATTCATTAGTCATCATGAAGGTCTTACGGCATGCAGACAGATGAGGGTGCCTCTGTTATTCCACTAGCAAGGTGTCATTTGAAAGATGGATTACATGAAAGGTCAAATGCTCAGGGGAACTTGTTTCTCGTCCCTTGCCATCGCCCTCTTCTGAGGCTTGAGCTCAGCGGTTGCATCTAGTCCGACCTTTCTTGCGTTGGGTTGCGCGGTAGATTTCAGGAATGTCAGCTCAGGGGCCAGTTGCACGAGCGCCCATGCCTAGGCTTCGAACAATTGGTTCACTTCTCCGCTCGACTTGCATCTTTTTCGTATTTTTCCTAGCTTTTGGAGGGGACAAGGCGTCGGCTCAACATGTACGTATCTTTGTGAACCCGATCTCATATCCGAAGAGTACCAGGTGTATCAGTATTTGATGTCTTCGTGCTAGAGCAATGTGACTTGTCTAAGTAGCTTCGACTGGGTGAGTGGGATGCCATGATGTTCTTTTTGAATGCTGTTCAAGAATACCTTTCGCCTCTCTAGTCGCTAAATACTCAGGGGTGAGCCAATGAAGTCCTCGTTAGCCTCCGCACGTTGGTGATTCAATAATGATTAGGAGGACTCCTTGCAAAGTCGCCTCAGAGCTTCAGGCAGAATGCGCTAGTGGACGTAAGCGTTATATCAGTGTTCCTCCACCCCTGCACTGACTCGCCCTTGACGTTGACTAGGATGGGACATAACGCCACTCCCCACCGGATATCGATATATTGGTAAGCGCACAAGGACTTACATTGATCTTGTGCTCACCGAGTGACAAAGGTCCAACTACGGGACAGGCTTCCTACTGTATGTGTTCCCATCCATGCAGCGACTTCGCTAATGCTCTGTACTAGGCATCTGTGATTCTGTTACGTACCAGCTAATGTCGGCATGTGGAGCATGCCAGAACGAGACGTGGATCACGTACGTCTATCATGAGTGGCTTCGGCCTGCCCACTATGTTTCTCAAGCATACCGTAGGTATCTTGAATGGTCAACGAATTGCGGGAACATCACAACACTGGTAGAGGGGGAATACCAGCCATCCTTGATTCCCCCCGGCACCCTAGTGCCCCGTTGGGCGTATATCAAGCCTTCCGACTTTGCTGGAACGTTAGTGTGTTCTCTCAATTAGTGCTTGCAATTTTTTTCCCGCGATCTCCAGTTTCAACTTATATGCTGCCAAGTCGGCCGGCGGTATGTTCCGCTTCATTATCATTCCCCGCAAGGTACTTATTGAATTGTCGCGAATCGCTCTGGCAGACACACCTGAAAGTTCCCGAGTACCGAGTATAACCTCAAGCCTAGGCCCACGCCCGCCCCCAGGTAGACATTCAAATGCTGGTGCAATCGCGGGAGGTGTAGTCGGTGGTGTGCTTGGCTTCGCCCTGATTGCGGTGTTTGCAGCATGGGTCCTTAGAGGACCAGGCGGCAGTCGTGACAAAGGCGAGAAGCCTCTCCCCATGCGTCCGATGGGTCCGGCCACAAATCCGAACGAGCAACCTGCTTTGGCATATCAAAACCCTTTCCCCGTGCATCATCAAGACCAGTATCCCGACCCGCCCCAATACAGCGGATATCCCACTCCACGGGCCTTATCGCCTATGAAGGCAGCCTGAACCAAGTGTCGATTTACGCCCCCTCGTCATCTATCATGATTCTAGGACGCCGCCGCTGCTCGCTATATTTCCCCGATCGTCGCTGAAAAGGTGTTATTCCATATTTCTCAATGCGCGGTTCTGATTTTTCCAACGCTCAACTTTTCGTCGGACTTGGCGTGATCCGCTCATTTGCGTGGCAAACAAGCCCATAACTTTCCATGCTGCCTTATTCATTGTATTTTTGGGTGATGAATGGACGTATGATGGAAGCCAGCTAGTACTTACTCACCAGTCTGGAGCGACGGCTACAGCTCTTTGAAACGCAATATTATACTGTATGAATGTAATACTACTTGCCTTGGCCGTGAGGGTCCTCATCTGATAGATGACTACCAAGTCGGAGGGCGGTTTATATACATTGATGAAAGTGAACGGGGCAGCTAGAAATGGTGGGAATAGGAAATTGCATGATGGATATGTTTAGAGATGGGGAAGCGATCTTACGATTATTGTAACATAAATAACGGAGCAAGCAACTTACCACAACAGCTGGGTATCAAGAGGGCCGGTGTTATCTACAAGAGTACGGTTTTTGAATCATTAAAACATCGAATGGGGAGCTAGCGGAGATGTTGTGTACCCAATCAGTTGTGTGTACGGACAAGCCAGAAGATCAGTACCTATTTAGGCCCGAAACCCGCTTCTTCCCTCCTCCCAGGCAAGGGAAAAACATAACACTTCGGGTCTCTCCCCATCACACAGACAAGTCCCTCTCTTCGGCTCCAATGCTGGTATATATATATGCAGGTTACCAGCCTGTATATATAGTCTCGATCTCGTTTTGGTTCGCGCTGTGTCTGGCCACCGGAGTGCACCTCAGTTTCTCCTGAGTGTGCATGTGGCATGCCAGAGGCAAACATTCTCCCACATGCGAAATTGATGCGCTGCTCCGAGAACACAAAGACTGCAACCACACTATATGTACTAGCGCGCGCAACCCAACCACCGTAACTACGTTCCAATATTTCTCTTTGAGTTATGTGATTAAGTACGCCAACCGGCACTTTAAAATGAAATCGTCATCACCAACGCACGCCCCAACTTCTTACAAGGGGGATCCAATAGGCGTCCCCTTATTTATGTAATCGCGCCATGTCTTGGGCATAGTCCGCGGAGACACCTCCGGATCATCTGTGTTGGCTCTCCAAATCGGTCTGGATCTTACTTTATGTCGGTCCCACTTTATCGATCACCAATCCTCCTGTTTTTTTGTCTCGACCAGCCGCAAAGCCATCCATGCCCTCCAGAGATCCCAGATTCGACGGCGGCGACATACAAAGCATGGTTGGACTGGGTGAATACTTTTGCACCACTACTTGAGATATGCTACCTTCGTTTGATCGAATCGATTGCGTGGTTGGGACCAGCTGATTGAATTCGTTGTGATGTTTAAAATTTGACATCCTTAGGGCTTGCATGACGTCACGGCGCGCTGTAGAAGCCAAGGACTCGATTAATCAAACGACGAGGTCGATCGGTCCGTACTGCCTCAACTGTGGTAACAAATTGAGGAAACGCCAGTCAGACCTCTAGTCCAGCCAGCCAGTATGATATGTATTGATCCGGATCACCAGTACTTGCGTTGGTGGGTTGGGCATTGGGTCGGGGTTGGGCATTGAGCGGGGGTTGGGCATTTGGGTTGGGTTGGGTTGGTTCCACCGTTGAGTCAATTCCGTCCAGAACTCGGTCTCTGCTGGGCTTTAATCTCACACCTACACCCACTTCAACCAGCCACTGCTAGCGCTATCCATGACAGGCTCCAGCAATGTACGACCAGTGAAGTCACAAAGCCACGCCACAGTCACTTATGCAAGCTCATGTGCAAACGCACACATGATCCTACCTCCAGTTACCAAATCGCCGCCTGCCACGAGATTGGTTTTTCAAGTATTCGTTCCCTGGCCCAGTGCCATGAATATTATTACGTTTCGCCTTGATGCAAAAGGGTGGTCATAGAGGGAGAGACTCCACACTTTTTCAATCCAAATTGTTGTGCGAATACTCTTCAAACCACCAGGCAGTACAGGCGCATCTTTCTTTGACTTTCGTACCCATATGGGCGTAACGTGATTACATAGAGCTCAAAGACGTGCTTTTTTTGGCCGGTGTTGACGGGGGATAGGCTGAGATCAATAAAGACAGTCCAATCCACTATAGATCCCGCATCGCGCCATCCGTCCTTGCAGGTCAAGTGTTCGCAACTCATAGCGTTGCATGTCAATGGCACCCATTCCTTTCCCCTTTGGAGAGGAGACGCTGGTCTGAAGCGGATATTTGCACCAGAATGCCGTTTCTTTCCCATGAGGTCCGGTGAAAAGGTCGGATACGATGTCAATACAGAAGATCAAGACCAAGACCATCAGCAATCGTAGTGTGGCGGATCAATCAGAGAATTCCCAGAACCGCCTGTGATCCTATAAGCTCAAGGAAGAACCGTTTGCGACAGCGGACGATTCCAAAACCAAATAGAGAGTTGTATGATCGCTCGTTCGTCTTCAAATGTGGAAATTTCGTCGTGGAGACCAGAACGAGCGCTGGGGGTGATCCAGTAGGAGGCGCTCAGAGGAGATACGGTATCCACACCACGTTGACAAAAGAACTGTAGGGCTTGGGTTGTCTGAAAGCTAGAGTAGTGCGAGTCTTCAAGAGATTAGCGACCAAATATCTCTCCCAAAAATTACCCAAGCGCCGATGTGCTGACAGCAGGGGAGCAAATGTGATGTACTGGTGAATCTGTCATCTTTGGTGAGATAGACGCCGTTCCTCCCCTATCATGGACTGCATCTTGTGCCGCAATGTCCATCCATCGGCGTTCACAAGCCCAACGACTTGGCAGTCAGCCATAAAGAGGAGCGACACACCTTTGTTTCGTCATCTAATTTCCCAGAAACGTCTTATAACCACGAAACCCTGACAACCTCATGTCGTAGCATGTCTATCTTTCACGAGAGAGGGAGGGTTGTCCACGAACTTCGTGTAGGGGATCGAAACGAATATCCGAGACCCACCCACTCATTAGCCGATTCTTGCACAAACCAAGACACGCACGCCTGTAGGCAGGACTCCAGTAGCGCGCCTGGGCAGACGCACAGCATGCGCGAACTATCGCGCTCCCTCCACACCGGAGGGGAAAGGATAACCGCCGTGGTCTTGCTTTTTCTCACGGTCCTTCCCTCGTGGACAAAATGCCTGCAAGCTCAAATAGTCCAAATGAAGACATCCTTCAAAGAGCCCATCGCTTCCTCTTCTACTTTGGAGCTTTGTATGTGGTCGTTGTGTCCCTTGTCATGGTTCCCACCGTTCAGTCGAAGTCAGTCGTGGCACGTTGCTCGCTTGGAGGATCCGTCTCACTGAAGCTGTCCTGTTCAGCATACTGTATATGCATAGAGTGCGGTGGCCGTTATTCGCCAAATATGACATCCCCCATAAATATGGGCTAGCCCGTCAGTTGCTCAATAGTGCACCGACATGCGAGGGCTCATAGCTGTCGCTTATTGTCTTCCACAGCCTATAGTACCGTAAATCTCAACATATCCACCTCGGACAATGTCCGTCTTGGTGCTTGGTTCATCGTGTCTGATTCCTATTATCAACATACCTCCAAGGTGAAGGGCCGACGTCCAAACCGACCCCTGTCTCTGCCGGAACTGACAACAGCAATGAGCCGCTACCCAACGGTGCTCTTTTTCCATGGGAATGCTGCGGATCGAGCAGTGGCATACCGTGTCTCGCTTTACTCGCAACTATCGAATCGTCTAGGAGCGAATGTCTTGGTCATCGATTATAGAGGCTTCGGAAATTCCGACGGAACGCCCACTGAAGCTGGACTGGCCAAGGATGCAAAAGCTGCTTGGGATTGGCTCGTCACCTACGGTGCCTCGCCGTCTAGTATCTTAATTATGGGGCATAGCCTGGGGGCTTCTGTGGCCACCATGCTTGCATCGGAACTATCCAGCAGAGGTGTGATATTTTTGCTAAACTATGTCCAGGTCATGGAGCTGAATTGTTGACAGGGATTCGGCCTAGGGGTGTGACGCTCGTAGCCCCTTTCACTGATACCCAAACCATAGCGAGGACATACACTCTTGGGGGCGTCATCCCCTTGTTCCGGCCACTGAGTGTCTTCCCTTATGTGCTGGAAATGGTAGTTTCTCTCATTGCTGAGATGCATGATACAAAGTCGAGGATAAACGTGAGTACAATTTCTTAAAATAATAAATGCATGCTTCATTGTCTCTAGTCAATCCAAGCTCCTATCCTATTGGTACATTGTCGCAAGGATCCCACAATTCCTTCTGCACATTCAAGGGACCTCTTTGAAACGCTGCTGGATCCGCTGCTTCCACCCCTACCACCCACTCCAGAAGGGTTCGCCCGATCCAAACTGCCGCGGGAACACTCCAAGCATCTAAACGAAGCTATCGCACGGCGTAACCAAAGTCGCGCGGGGACTGTCACTGAAAGCACCATAGGAGGTTTCGCATCCCATGTCGCTGAGTTTGATCGAGGTGAGAGGGGTCGTGGAGGAAAGGTCAAATTGGTGGAGACACTATATGGTGGACATACAAATATTGTGGGAGCAAGTGGAGTTATTGACCTTATTGGAGAATTTTTTGACATCTGGCGAACGTAATCAAGCGCTGCTACCCAACTATAGGCACTGTAATTTATGACCATTCGTTAGCGGGGTTCTAGCTGTACTGAAATTTTGTGTCTATTGATTGGTGTTGCATTGTGCCGGTGTTTCGGCGCAGCCCGCCATCCCGGATGGCCCCTCGCATATCACTGAGCTCCACCCATAAATCCGCAAAGCCATGTGCATCAGTCGCTCCAAGTGCGGATCTCAAATCTCGGCTGCAGCTAATGTTGTGTAACAGCAGGCTGCCGGACGCATTATTGGCTGATGGTTGGGTGATGGCACGTTCCGCATTGTCCGTTCCACTGTCCTTGAGTTTGCCTTCATGCCATGTCAATGATGCTATCGATCTCGATTTCTCAGTGCAGTGATGCCCGGAGCTTAACGTCGCTCATGTGTTCGGCACCCCCTTCTATATATGCCTTCCTCTGCCTCGTGCCCATGTGACAACGGTATTCCCCAGCAACCAATAGCGTCATCGGATCTCTGATAACTGTTCATACTATGCCAGCCATTAATGACATCAGCTTCATAGCGCCCATCGGCAGCTGTCTGAATGCCCCATGCTTAATTTACTCCTGAACCCCATGCCAGTGTTGGGATCATAAAACTGTACTAGCTGGGTCTAACTGGAAGATGAAGGCCTGCGCCACAGGGGATAATTCCTTCTTGCTTGGTGGGGGGCGCACCCAGTGTTAATACTTTGTGAAAGCATTGCACTCCCTTAATACCCGACAGTCTCAACATAGCCAGCTGTACATCAAAACGAACGAAAAGATGGGCGACTCAGAGCGCCCAAAGCTCACGAGCTTTTATTGAACACGTCCTGCACCGCCGCCGATGCTCATCTACGATGAGCAGAAAAACAAAAGAGCATCGGGAGGAAGATGCATATTAGTGCTGAAGTAATTATAGATTTGTTCTGCAAGCCCTTTCATCGGAGCCAAGAACAGAGCGCACATCTACGCGGCAGAATTCACAGCCTCCCATGTTCAGTTAGCCTACATACGAAGGATTCCCAGCTCGGCAGTGCGGCTCGGTTGATATGGACCATGCAGTGGAGACTCGTTGGTGCAAACGAAATGTAAATACGTGTTTCGAGATCGCGTTTCAGCAAGTACCAACATTGGATCCGATCAGAGAACTGATGCCAAAGCCGAAGCGATCAAGCGCCCAAGTAATGTTTGACGCCAGGTGCACATTGACTAAACAAGTGAATTCGTGGAGTTTGCCGACTGAACAGGTTACAACTCTCTCTCATGATTGTCACGCCGTTTTACCCCCGACCCGCTCTCCTCGGTGCTCCGGGCCGTTCATCTTGGTCCTCTGTGTTGATATCCTGTCGGATTTTATCAAACTACCTCGGGAAGAGAAGTGCAGCTCATGTGCCAACAAGTCGTGTCGGATGCTGGTCAATTCAAGGGCGATAGTGCAATTCGACATACGAATTGCGTCTGACTTACAGAAGTGCGCCCACAACTTGGGGCTTGCATCAAATATGCGCCCCATCCCCTCTCATCCTGAGGCTAGGAACAGTCTATATGACCACCTCCCCGCTAGTTCCTGGTGGGGATACGCGCACTTCAGCTCATGATGAGTGCTGCGCTTCAGGCCCCAATTCCTTTTTTCACGGTACCCATCCCGATGGGTAAAATTCCGTATTGCCTCCCTAACAATTGTTTAGGGAGGAGCGGCCTTTATTGGCCTGGGATCTGTTGACCCCAACACTTCCCCAGACGTAGTGTTACATTGACTAAGATATGGGAGAAGGTTCTGGTCCGAGGATGGTCACCTGCGGAGGCTGTGGCTGTGCATGCATTCGTGCTGTTCTGTTACGCCTAGCTGATTGCCGGCTCCTGTACACCTTCAACCAGGCGATAGGCCCGATGGCTCTGGTTTGCACCACGAGTTTTGGGCTGGATAAGGTGGTCCAGTCCTTGACGCTCTCTGGACGCCTTGGTCTGGATGTCTTGAGTCCCCGGCCCCGCTTCCCTCCCATATATCTGTTCAGGGGATCGCTTTCAAGATTTTCCGGCTCAAATATTACCTGAGTTTGGGATGCACCTCACCGAGAGCCAGTAGGCTCTTCCGGCATTCTTTACAGCGTCCAACATAGGCATTGAAGCAGGCTAGACGTGCGCAAGATACACTAGTATCACCTGAACCATTGTAGACCAATATGATGTTCAGTAGAGGGCTTTCATCAGCCTTCAAGCGATTGACATGAGGACAGAGCCAAGAGTAAACAATCTCGTGGAACTTATGGCGATTACTGTTCTTAAAGTTGTACGCAGATTACTCTCGCTCTCCCGTCGATTTTCCCGAGAGGCTTCTGAACACCCCTACTGATGCGCCCAACTCTACTTCGCCTTCCGTAGTAGGTGGCACAACCTCCACATTACCATGACCTCATGGCATCTTTCTTAGTGCCCCGTTCACTTACCTATCAAATCCCGAGTACACTTCGTCGGCAAGCGCAAACTTCGCCGGTCTAATATCATGGCTGGCCCCGGAGCCGATCTGGAAGGAAGACAACCCAAGATCTGGTCAGGTCTCACATGCGAGAGGGATCATAGCAAGCATTGGGGAACTTCGATCACATTATCTTTGGCTCGGTGTCTCAGCATTGTCGCTATCTCTAGGTCCCCTTACGTAAAAGGTAAACCAGGAATTGTCTATGGCTCCTTTCGGATGTGGGTGTCGAGTTATCTGAGAAAAGGCTATCGGCTGCTTCCACTCCGTTTGCATACTCGCATCCCTCATTTCTTTGCATTGTACGTGTGCACTTCCAGGGTTGCATGCAGCGAATTCGTCATACGTCCTCTGTACTGATTGAAACTTCCTAGTTGTTGGACATGTCAAAACTTACGGACCCTGGCTTCTATTGTAATATCACTATTATACGTACAGGCGGATTCTGAGATGGGAAAGCGGAGCAATATTATCAAAAGAAGATAGTTGATAAGGAAGTAGAGCGCGGGCGCCTTGAGAGGTGTTGCAAGCATTGCGTATGTTGTCAGCAGCCGATCGTTCGTACCATACCGGATACCGAAGGAACGGACGAGGTGTGTTGCCGATAGTATTCTTGGACACAACCGGTTGGCTCGAATTTGGATGGAACGAGGTGGGGAGTGTGGAAGAATCGTCGAGCGGGATCAAAGAGTCCGCCTGACAACTGGTGGACTAGTGGAGGTGGGTAATAGTTCACTTGTGCTCGGTTAACATATGCACAGAAGCGCGTGGACGCCCGGAGGGAAAATGGTGTTGCGCTCGGCTCCAAACCCGAAATGATACGCGGGTTCTCCCATGCTACTATAAGATTGGAAACGAGCAATACACACCACACCATCCCCTTTCCACGCTCACAACCCCGGCTTGCCTCCCTGTTTTTGGTTAGTTGGATAAATCTGATCCGCCGATAAACAGGCAGACGTGGTGGTGGGTGTAGGGCCCGGGGCATAGGATGGCGCATGGTCGAGATCGAATTGGAGCGAACGGGAGATCAAGCCCAGTGATGGAAATAGGTAGGAGGCGAATGAGGACGGCGACTCCACGAATCGATCGGGAAGCGACTTACGAGCTTGCTAATGGGAAGTGTCAGTTCCCACTGATGGATAGGACGCGGCGGAAATGATAAGCGAAGTGAGTAACATTAGACAGGGAAATGAGACGAGGAACGACGAGACCCAGACACCGGGAGGTTGCGCCGCCTATCCTTCCCCCTTGGTTCATCGAACTGGGTGCAAGACTCCCAGTGCCAGCCGGCGTGCATCGTTCATCGCCGCCGAACAAGCAACCTCACTTACGTGGAGTCCAGAGTAAGGAGGTCGATTCTGCCGGAAAATGCTATGCTCAGCAATTCAAGAACGGTGAGTGTCGAGTAAAAGGACTTACGGAACTACTGACGCAACAATATCCTCCAGGGATTCTTTTACTAGCGCTGCTGGTCTGTGAACATCCGGCTACATGAATCCCCGTCGTACAGCAGTTATTAGACCGTCAAAGTCATGAAAGGAAAACACCAAAGGAAGTGAAGGGAGTGGAGATGCAAAGTTGCGAACAGTTACAGCAGAGCAGAATCCCCGGTCGTCCAAATCAATCGCGCGAAAGGAACGTGACAAGCGTGAGCAAAGGTGCAAGAGAAGAAGAGGGGGTCAGCGAATTGAGTGATTGGTTGGTTGTCTGGGGGGCGAAGGGAGGATTGTGGACTGCGTACCCTGCGCCACATGTCCCACAACACTCCTCGTTTCATCTTCTTGGCTGCCTCATCCCAGTACGTCACCCTCCATCCGATCTATGCCCAGGTGCAACGGACACACGATCCGTGCAGGCAACATTGAATGGTCGAGACCAAAGGGGCGCGACATTTGCATGGTTGGCCAACGAATGAAGGGTGGATTGGGAAGAAAATTAATGGCGATTAGTCCAGCACTTGAAGCTTCCTATCAAAGACGATATACTCACTTCGACCCCGTAGTTCGCCAGGTCGTCGGGATGGGAAGGTTGGAGTGGTGGGGTCATTATTATTTTGCGATGGAGGGTCGGTCGAACGCAATTATAAGCGTTTCGCGTACCCCTTCATCAGGGCAGCAGCCTGACGTCGGAAATTAAGTGCACTTGTCAATAACGCAGAATTTCATTTATTTTTATTTTTTCCCATCACGTATGTAACAAACCAGAGGATTGGTGCTCTTATTTCTCCCACGCAAAGGAGAAACGACGTGCATTGGACCCGGCCTTTGCTAGCTAAGTGTGTCGTGGCGGCCCTCGATGCAATCTACCACACTTAATGCATGAGATCGCATTTTCGTTTGTACAATGTCGACTTCTTTACTGAGACAGAATGGCCAACTCCGTCCGGTGACGCGAGAACAATGCGCTGTTTCGAGAATACAAACGGAGTGATCTGAACATCAACGCCTCCCAGTTGATTGCGCCTCACAAGATAAGGCACGTCCTATGTATTTGCCAATTGAGTGATGATCAGTACCAAGTTTAGTATCGCGATATTCATGCGGTCACACTGACGGTTCTCTATCGTCGATCATCCTATCGGGAAATTTGGACAGTTGGCTTTCAGGGATGGGATCCTGTGGCTGGTCGGAACAATGCGATATGTAGCATTTGCCTCTTTGAGCTTCACAGTGACGTTTTCCGTAGCACCACAGTCAGGCGCGTTCTACGTCTTCGACGTCTAGACCTCCTGGAATGGTTCGTCCTTGATACCTGCTGGAAAGGCTGCTAGCTCTGAAACACGCAAGTCACGACTCTCGACTGCTATAGTCTCAGTGCGCCTCTCAAACTCCCAGGCGGCACTACGGGAGCTGTAAGAATACTATAGGGCTAGACAAGTCCTCTCAAGAGACAGGCTACTAGCTTTTATTGGAATCTTCTCAACCGAATTACAGCCATCGCTTAGCCTCTTTGTTGATTTGCCATACCTATCAACTCATCCTCGTTTGCCGCCCACTTTGAGCTAGAAACATCAAGAATCTCCAAGAGCCCATACGTAGAATGTCTCAGCCAAAGATTTGCGCTTTGCACCCGAAGTTGGACGGTAGTTTCGAAATGAAATCAACGATGTATCTTCGTACGACGTAAAGCATATATAACGCCCGTGCGCTACTATTTTCTGTTTCCAAAACGAATCATGAATCGTGGCTGGTCCGATTTGAGCCATTTGCACTTCACCTCAGTTCCCATCAATTGCCCCATCTCGAATCGTATATTCCCCAAAACGGTAGTAGTTATAGGCACAGTCCGTGGTGGGACTTCGCGTACGTCCCACCTGAAAAACCGTTGACGTTGATCGGGTCAAGCCTGAAACCATCTTGCTTTCAACCGGCTCTACCTTGTCCCCCATGAAAACTCTTCATTCGACCTGCTGATCAATTATTCATACACGTTGTTGCGGATCTGATGTCTAAGATATACAAAGCTTGCTCAGATATGATGAACAGTCATCGTATCGCATGAACAACATTACCTCTGATTGACCCGAGCTCGTTTACGTGTGAATAAAAGAATCTGACCAGCCGATTATTGATCAAGAGGTGGATTTAGAAAACATGTCTTCTCCAGGGGGCAAGATTTCGCATCACCAACGCTGAGCTCATCGTGTGCTTGGGCCTACATATGTCAAGTCCCAGACTCCCGAATCCAGGTGATGTTGCCTTGTACTGACGTGATAGGGCCCTAAGATCATTAGGTGACAACTCGATCTATCTGCGGACTCTCCGGATTGAACGCCCCAAATACCATCCCGTCAATCAATGTTGGTCAAACCTAGTCAGTTACAACGCATAACTTGGGTACCAAATCGCCACCATCGTGCCACGATAGGCATTTCCATCAAATAAATGGCGTTTTGCGCAGATCGGCCGCGGAAGCACGTACCAATTCGGTGTATTCCGAGGAAAGACATGCCAGGGCTCTTTGGTGTCCGATCAGCGTTATATGCTGCATCAATATTGCTGCATGTTGTTTGCACTTCCTAACCGGGTGAGAGTATTACGTCTTTCCAGCGCACAGCCTCACAAGGCTTCCGAATGTACAGGACACGAGCATGGATCTCCTACTTGGAGTCCAAATCGAGTTACAGTAAGTGTATATACCACCCTCGTGAGTCGTGATTGCTTTTCAGCCAGCGTTATTGGCGGGCAGGCCCGATTGGTGATGACGAATTCGAAATAGCCAATATTAATTTTCCCTTCGGATAGGCCACGACGTAGCGCTCCAACTCTTGCAGAATGGTGCTCCAGTTAATGGCTCGGCAGGCGGCCTGGCGCCGAAGTGGACTGGCTAACGCTTATTCACGTCGTCACTGTCGTTATCGATAGGCAGGTTACCAGCCTCTATAGACGTTATCGAAAGGAGGTCCTTCGCATCGTGAAAGTGGTATAAAATTTGCACTGAACCCGCTGGGACTGTTGACCCCACTACTCGACTTAAATGGCCCGCTTTGGATCATGCCTCAACTCGTTTGGCTGATCACTGGGACAACGTGAGCCGTTCACCTCACATAACATCTTCGAGTCACCTGCCCTCTAGTCCTGGTTTCGGACGTGAACGTGCTCTTGCCGCTCGCCAGCGAGGCGACAGGGTCATCGCCACCGCATGCTGACTTGCTGCCATCGATGGAAGGATACTAGTCAGTCCACACTGTGTTAATAAGGCCAGTGTGCCTGTAAAGTGCTGAACTTCCCGATGACATTGGTTGGTAGTTGCCTGCGCCAGTATCGATGCTGTCGCAGTGACGGTTGAAGTGCCTGTGTTAAGTGTGATGATATAGGGTCATTGTGCGGTAACTTGTGTACGGCCAGATGGGACACCGAGAGGATAGTGGGATAATTAATGAAAGGGGTTGTCGACGGGCCGGCAGCCTTTCAACATAGTTTCTAGCAAACCAGGCCTTGAGACACCATGGCCAATATTAGCACAAATTTGCATCATATCGTGCTGCTGGTGCTTAGCTTCAGATACTACTGGCTCCTAAATTCGGATTATTGTCTCTATTGTCCAGCTGAGTGGCAGAGACAAATTTGTCCGCAGACTACAGACACTTTTCGTTCTGGCAACCATCTTCACGGAAACCGGATAAGGGCTCAGAACCATCCAGTGTTCGTGATGATGCCGCTCCTAAGTAGTCATCATGCAGTTGCTATATGCTCTCGTGCCCCGACAAGTAACCCCTCTCTGCTTAGCCGAGAACTCGCACAGCAGGATACTCCGGTGCTAGCCCTCCCAATTTGACGACTTAATATCTGACGGAGCGGGGAATCAGAGAACTCGCGCAAAGCTTCATCATTGAAGGCATTCTTGCTCCACTAGGCTACCGTCAAGGATCACCTGCGACGAGCGGAAAAACCAAGCACATGGAAAGAAAGCGGAGCACTGGGTCTTCAGGCAAAACTGTCTTTCGCTCATGCCTCGGACATGAAAACGAGGACTTCATGGCCAACTCACGTCGAGTCACGAACGGTGCATTGGTTGGAGGCTTGCCAATGATCCCCGAAACACTTTCAGCAACAAGGAAGGTGCACAAAATGTCCATTAGAATGCTGAAACTAGTTGCACGTAATGATGCCTCAAATTCTGTTGGAGATATGGTCAGAAAAAAGCCCCATGTCAACACATGGCTTTGATTCCCACCTCCAATAATCGGGATCCGAAACTTGAACAGCGAAGGCGGCCACAATTCCGCTCTTCCCGGGAAGATAAGCCCGGATGGCACGCGTGGCATTTCTCATGAAATCACAGCTATTCTGAGTGCGATTCTTGCAGACCGAAACTTCGAACGAGTCCACAAAGTGCCCTGCGCCACATCCTGGGACGATAATCTGGACGAGGAGGCGATAATCATTCAGATTGGCACGCCCCCCCCATGACAATGCAACTCACCTTGTGTAGTGTTTTTGAGGGATGCCCTGTAGACCGAACAGATCCAAAGGTGCCACTTGTCTTGGTTGCGTTCCCCTCCATCCATGCACAAATTTGGGTGACCCCAACATAATTTGGCCTATTAGACTTAGGGGAAATATGAACGTTGTAGATGGAGTTGTTTGAGGAGATAGCAGTTGCGATAGTGTTCTGAGATGGAAGGACGTTACTTGGTGGTCTCAGCTTTGTTTCGACTGGCTCACCGAAGGTGGCCCACTCATGAGATCTCGAGCTGGTCCAACGGGTCCATCGACCAAGGAGCATTCCTAAGGGAAACAAACTAAGAAATGGCAATGCAATCTGACTCCAGGCATACCGGTGCTATGTGGTACCACCAGCAATTTGTCAATCCTCTGTTACCCCACTTGCCCTGGAAGCTGAGCCACGAAAATGTACCTGGCGCCAGCAAAACGATATCAGAGATGCCGCGAATGGAGAAAGAACAGCTTCCCCACCCTTGTAAGCTCCCCCTGGGATATACATCATGGGGAACAAGTTTGCCTTGGCATCCCATTTCGGACCACCATTAGCCGTGACATCGACAAGTTGGTCGGTGAGTTGACCGTAGCTGACCTGTCATGAATGGTTCGTCTGAGCATGCACTGCCAGCTGCTGAGAGACTCCTACATTCTGGTACACATGCTTTCCAGGGGAGTCCCAAATGCCGTGTGAGCCCTGTGCTACCCACCCAATAGGGCGATCCTCGCCAGGTACTTTTGGGACGTCAGCCCAGCGTATGGTCCTGGAAGATGAAATGGTAGAAACACTTCGGCATGAGTTATATTTGTAGGATAATATTTCTCGTACCCGGTAGACTGACTTCCTCCCGAATGAGCATTGTAATCCGCGCTCACGGCAACGCCTAGAAATCGAAGAATCGGCGATCAGGGGACAGACCCGCGTCCCCAGCGCAGAGCGCACCGTTGACAGTCCGAACAGACATTCTCTCCCAGTCACTCACATCTGGACGATCCACGTCAGTTCGAACATAATATCACACCCAAGCCTGGATGGCACGCTCACGGTCATCAACTTCTCCAACCACTTTTACTATCTTGCCTTGATTCCACGGATAGTACGTCCAATAGTAGAAGTCTACCACTCCATTTCCTTTGGGAGCGATGAAGGTATAGACGGGAACACGAGTCGTCTTTGGGTTCTTTCCAGCAAGGAACGTCCCCAGAGCGTTCGTATAATTTTGGACGGTAAGGAAAGTTCCTTGGCCATTGCTTGGCAAGGACGACGCAAGGTTCGTGCTCGTAAGGAGAGGTGGCTGGTTGGGGACGAGGTTTCCTTTGTCGTCATACACCTAAACAGTGGTATTGAACGCTCCGCCCAGACTGTCCACCAAGTGGCAGCGCTCACCTTGAAGTTCGGAAACATAAACTCGATAGAGCTTGGCAAGAAGGCTTCACTTGGACTAAGGACTTCATTCAGCGGAGCGCCAAATGTGCGTAAGAAGTGAAGTAAACATACTGCAAACGAAACTGAGGCGCATACTTGCGTGCGAGATCCTCATGCGGAATTGTAGCGCAAACACAACCCGTGCAAAAAAGTAGAATGGCCACGCTGCAAGCAAGAAAAGAGGGCTGATTGCATTCAAGGGGTAAGAGACAGCTGCCATGCTCGTGCATCCACAACGTTTACTGACCATCCTAATAATAGTCGTAGGTTGTGGAGGCGAAGGGACGTTGATCAATTACCTTTTAAATGCGTCCCTAAAACCCTTCGAACCCTGTCAGATGGACAAGTATAGGCTGGCGCTCACACCGCCGCATGATTCTTTTCTTTTCGTCCCCATCATCCCGTGAAGCAAGCAACGAGTAGGTCTGTCTGGTGGCAGTGTAAGGTCTCCGAACTTCCGTCGGCGAGAGCAAGGCTGTTACTATTAGATCGACAAGTCATGACTCACGACACCACCCGGCCCCGGCGCGAACACACTGTGCACCATGCACCGCCTCGTCATTGCTTTTCCGTACAACGACGCCAGGGTTGGACTTGATGGTCCCACGGCGAAATAACAGAGGTCTGTCTGACGACGACAGAGCCACACGTTAGGGTCCTCGCACAATGTAAGGCCACTCGGAAGAAAATGGGCCCCAAGTTCGTAAGTGGCAAGATTGAATGAAATGCCAATGGGTGACGAATGGAAGCCCAAGCTTTGTTCCGATGATTGCGCGAGAATCGCACAACCGTTATCTGAGACGGCGGTTCCAGCAGAATATAAACCAGTGGCAAGAGCGCCGAGCTTCACAGAGGCCATTTCATCGCCGAGGACTGTTACGTTCCCATCGATATCTTCCATTGACGAATCTGATCCAGACCGAGTTCTTGACAGAATTGGGCCGCAATCGACAGATTTTACGCTGATGATCGATGTCAGCGATTTCGATGACGCCATGATCAAACCCTAGTGCAACATAAAGACCATCTAGGGAGAGTGCGGCGCAACTTCACAATGCCACTACGAACATCATTTCCTTTATATATAATTTAATCCTTGGTACGACCGCATGATGCTCGTGTCTATATTAGCCAAATTGTTTAGCATTTACCAGTGCGCTCGTTGGCAGTGCTTACTAGCTCGTCACTCCCTTGGCTATCCACTCGATGCCTTTTGTGCTGCAACATTGCTTAGAATTGTGGGGGAAGTTTCTGATGTGTGTACCATTCACTATTTCTGCAGCGTTAGGTTTGGCAATATACATAACATTATTGTGAGTGTTTGGCGGGCCTCTGGCGTCCCTGCGGAAGTACAGCAAGGTGCTACTGGTGAGAGGGGAATAAGTTAAGTGGGAATTGATGATGCAGCCTTTCGAATAAGGATTCAAAGACGCGTTGTCGACTTGAGCCAAGCCCATCATGGCATGCATACATTGCATTCAGGCCGCCGAATGAGATATTAGTGATTCGTAGATTTTTTATTGGTTGAATTGCCTGCGCTGGCAATTGCACATCTCATCATGGCCCTTCCCCAATTCTCTTCCCAATATGTACCCACTTCGTCGCGTTACATAACCACGAGATGGAGCCGGGTAGTTATGGCCATCCGAACAACTGGGGATGAGAGGGGGTGGGACGAGGCTTGGGAGCAGTGCGGCATGCACGACGGAAGCATGGGTCAAAAGAAATACACCTGTACACTATATCGAGCTACGATGTGTACGGCTACATACACTGGAAGCATAGTATCATAGAGGTTGAGTGTGAAGACATTGTCACCTCATATTCCTTAACAACTGCACTCAACTCCAGTCCGAAACGTCCAGGGCGCCCTTCCCAATCGCGTTTTCCAGACGCGATTCTGTGAATTACGGAGTGATGAACAATAAATGGGAACTATACCTCTATCTTGCATGCATCGCTGATGATTTCCCCCGGATGACCGGTGAAGGAAACAACCAGAGCCAACTCCCCACGCTACATGTCCAAGCTCCCAGTCGCTTCTGACCGACGCAGCTTTCCTCAAGCTGGCCGCCAACTTATTCGTGGAATGGGCTATGACGCGTCGTTCTACACATTGGTCCCAAACGGATGGAGTTGCAGGAACACCTTTCGGATGTGCAGTTGACCTACCTTCTCTTACTCCTGCTGTGGGCTGCCTCGCGGTAACCTACAAAGCACCAGGTGAAAACACATTCTGAAGAAATTGTGTAGAGGATGAGCGATTAATAGAGATACATAAGGTGGCAAAGAAAGGATCAGAGGATAAGTAGGGATAACCGATTGAGAGACAGAACATAGAAACGTTAATTTGAGCACGCATTGCTTTACGTTGCTCCGCTGTTAATTGGCAAGGTTCGTACTTGTAATTTGGAAAAAGTGGCAGAAAGCCAAAGGAGAAACTGGAAAAATAAAAGTAAAAATAAAACTACAGCACTCAGGATTCCCATGTAGTCCCCTACCATGGTACTAACTAAGCGGTACTCAACTTAACTTCGCAGATCAGACGGGATGCGGTGCTTTCCGAGTCCTATGGCCGCAGATGTCCAGGTCCGCATTTCTACCTCTGATGAATATAATTACATAATAGGGATCAGGGCTGATGAATCGACACTATTAAAAAGCACATGTATGAAGACGAAACGATGTGCGATAAATCTGAGATTTCGACGATAATCTGTTCACCACTGTTACCGTGTGAGGTGCCATTGGAAACAGGAGACCGGCGATTGATATGGAGACGAAAATGAAATGGGAAAAACAATGAGAGGTAAATTGTCGAGATAACCAACACGCATGTAGAAAAATGAGGGAAAGAGACAAAAACAAGGAGATCCGAGGATAAACAGGTAAACGACTGGCGCGCGTGACGCGCAACCACGTAATTTTGACGACTAATCCATTCAACATATTCGCCCTCGGCCGGTGCAAACATTTCATCGCAACGATTGATACGATCGTGTTTCGCCTAACGAAGTGCATGCTGACGGTGATTGCCCACTTTGTAGATCACGGGGGTAGTAGAGGGAACCATTATTGAAGGAAAGATCTGTTACGAGCTGGTATCAACTTGACTGGTGCATACCCCAATTCTTCGACAAATGCATCTTCATTGCTTGTGTACTAGGGCCTCTGTGCTGGCCGTGCGCTGAACATAACTTGTTATCGAAGGCGGGCCAAATTACATATGTAAGCTTCGGGGGAGACATGAGGGTTACGAACCTCAATCATAGCCAAAACAAGATGATGTTGCGGAAATTGAATTTTCGAGCCCAATGCAGTGCTGTTTCCCTTCTGTGAATTTTAGGGTGGGAGTCAGTGAAATCCCAGCGAGGATTGGCCATATAAACCATAAACGCGTAAAGGAGAATCATGCCTAATTCATGAGAGAGCGTCAACTTTCAAAGAAGGGGTCCTAGAGCAAGAAAACTAGATCTCGAAACCCTACAGCCCGTCACGCACCCTTGTTGAACAACGAGAGCTACAACGCCCACATTACAATTACATGCGAGTCAGTCAAGGCTCCATTTTGTTTCGACAAATTCTTTTATTCTCCGTGGGCAGACGATGACCGACACATCACTCGCCGATTTACTAGCCCCATAGCAAAATGAGTGTGTAGGCTCTTCAAAATCAGCGTATGCCGATAATCATGTTTATGATCAAGAAACTCACTGGGATTCACGCAGTAGGTCACTATCTGGAGAATTCGATTGGAAAGATATAGAGGGAGAAGAACTGTCCGTTTAGCGGACTTTCAAGCCAAGTTTACATACTCGGTTAATTGTGCGTTCGCGGCCCTCGGAAACTCTATGGCTCGAGGATGGATTGTTTGAGATTTGACGCTTCGGCCCGCGCCAGTCACTGTCCTAAGATTGGCTAGAGGTAAGATGCGGGAGAGAGGACAGAAGAGTTCAGGCGATGTGCCGTGTCTAGCGAGCGTTCACATTGCTGTTACGTGATGTATGGATGAAGGAAAGATAACGCACTCATCAAAACTATGTTTCCTACTGCCTAAATGTCAAATTTGGTCCCATTGACCCATATAGCGGCAGTCGTCCGTTCGTGAACGCGGTCCAGTTGAGGAGATGGAGCACGTATGAATCAACGGCTTTCCGTAAAGATCCAAAGGCGTCCCGTGTAGCTCTTGAACCTCGGGTAGAATGCGAGTGGGAGTTAGGCGTTGTCGTGCAGATGCAAGCTAGCAGCTTCTACACACCCCGTTAGAGGGAGAGAATCCTGGGGCGCAAGTGCTGCGTCGAGTCTACTGAGGCTGCATGCGCAGGAGATCTAGATCCACATGAATCTCGGATGAGGGGGCTACGATGGCGCACGTAGTTGGTGGGCGAACCAGCACACTGTCATCGTCCAAAAGACCGTTTGGGAGGGAATGCGGAAGCAAGCGCAGAGCAGAGGGACTTCCGTTTACAGTATGAGTCGCCACATTCATTTCTCTTCTCACACATCTGAGTTTTCGTAGAGTTTTCGCAACACCCAACGCTCGTTATCTATATCCCTCTTGATGGGATGCAGAACGAGCTAATACCTTCCACTCCAAAGTAAGAGCCTGAAGGAGTACCTCCGAAATCATTCCCCGCGCACGACCATCCAGGTCCATCCGATCAGTCCTGATCGCGGTGGTAAGCTCATGAGTGCCCTGAGCTGAAAGTTCCTTCCTCAAAGAAGCCCCCAGTGCGGAGCCAGCGAAAATTTCATAGCCTCCTTGTCATATACTTGGGGCGTACGCTGTAACGCCCGAAGCAGGCGCCTCTCGATTGCTCCGTGATCGATTATCCTTCCCCACAAAAATTTGGGGGTTCCCGCTGGGATTACAGGGACTTGTTAGTCACCCAAGCTTACGGAACGAGTGGTTTGCTGCCAGTAGGCTGAGTCCTGGGTTACTCAGAACAGAGGGACTTCATCCTTTTTCAGGGGTTCGTGATGCTGACGTCCGCATCTCCTCTGTGCGCTGGGACGAGAAGGGGTTCGTTGGGATAGGCATGGATACAATGTTCCCTTCAGCCACAAGCTGATATTGTAGTGAGTATAGTGAGACACAGTCCTCCGGCCGTACTCCCACCAGACGGGCAGTATCATCAGGCATCAGGATACAGCACCAGTCCTCGCTAGATCCAGTGCCTCGCGATGCCTAATTACCCCTGCCTCTGTAGGTAGTTGAGCGCCGGGTGGATGGTTGGGATGTTGGTTACGTATTGGAACCGTTTAGTCGCATGCCGGGCAACCTGTACCTCCTACAGGATCTGTACCCGATATTTGACAGCATCCCTGCGTTTCAGTGGATACTTGTGAGTTAGCGGACTGCAGTTGCTATGAGATGGATGGCAACTACGTCGCTGACACTGCAAGCTGTACTGGGGCTGTCATCATCGTAGAGGTGAATGCACCTGGCATCGATAACCGCCAAACGCAATGAAGATGCATGGGCAGGGAATGAGAGATCTGCTATGCTGTTGAGGGACCAGCTCCCTTAGCCCTAACTGGTGCGCGCAATCGAAGGTTAATGTCGAACCTTCTGTCCGCATTCTAACTTTCATACCCGTAAGTAACGCTGTTCCCCAACGCATTACTATGGGCTTCACAATGGCATGACGTGGTCAGACATGGGAAGCCGTGTACGAGCGATGAAATGGTCTCGCCACACAATGAATTGGAGTTAAGCGCCCAGTGCAAGATTTTTCCCTTGCATTTTCACCCAGATGCTGGCTCCTGTGTCTGGCCAGTGCGCGTTATTGGCGTGCTTTCTCTGCGATCTTGGCCTGTCTGGTGCTGTGCGTGCCTTCAGATCGTGCTTGCCTTTGGGCAACGAAACACGTGGCGGAATTTATAGACCGTTCATCCGGCGCAGTGCAGCCGGTGAATCGAGCCTTCCCCATTCGTTAGCATAATCAACTAGCTCTCAATATGCTTGTTGCATATAAATACTTATTGATGAATTAAACTCAATTTTCTGATTTTTCGACTGTGTTCAATGGTGCATCCTCGCAGCATCGTCAGACTTCTCCTCATTTTTCAGCCCTTTTCAAACCCTTCTACTCTCTCACTATGCCTGCGGCTGATGGCAGGAGTTGGTTCATGAACCCCTGTGTCGAAAAGATCCCTCGAAAACAAGGAGAACCGAACCGGCTAAGAAGATCTGGTCACCCGATCTAATGAATACCATCACTACCTAATGACAGCACCCCTATTCAGCTGAAATGCTCATTCTGCGTCTGCGGAAACGTCGACGAAAAAGGACGGGAGGGATTCTCGGTTCCTCTCTAGCCCTAGATGTTGGCGACACTGCGATAAGTACTACACTCTTGAGCAGAAATCCCAACATCCTCGGGACATGACGGACTTCGTGCTCCAGCGCGGCGACAGCTTTGGGCCACAGTCTCATCAGGACGCACGAGACGGAGTCAATTGGACCAACAACAAGCCATAAATAGCTTATTCGGCTAATATCCTGATGCATCTTCCTGATGAGCGGGTGTTTCCTGCCGTGGTTTTTCGACGCGCCTTCTTTCGCCCTCCTTGCATCGACTTGGCTTGTCCCCTCACCCCCTGTTCACGGTAATTGTAGCGGTGCACTGCTCCAGCAATTTCGCGGTTGAACGAAGCCAAGCGGTCTACTAACAGATGAGAAATCGCAAAAGTTGTGAAATATCAGCTAGGCGATCTCTGATCGTGTTCATATTGTTAGGTAGAACTTCGATGAAGAAAACCACTTAATTTGGAAAAGCCATTTAATGCTGAAGTGCGGTCATGCGAGGCGAGGATTGAATGGTCGTGAAATGCATAAAAGGGCGGCCTGAGCCTTGGTCTCCCCGTCAGCTCCTCGCCCCCTTCTCTCATGCATAGATCACGGCCTCCATCCCTGCTGCGGATCACCCTCTGACGCTCCTCGGCAGCTCCGAACCCTTTCGCCTCACGGATGGGGCCCTCCCAATCTCTCTCCGTTGTACATGCTATGATAGGCTCCGCCTTTGGGGTCCCTTCACACACCGGTTCGCCGTTCACGCATGGTTCTACAGCTGCGAGCCACCTCTAGGTAAGCGACCTGGACTCTGCCTTCACCTTCCAACTAAAACGTCCTCGTAGCTCCCATGTCCTCGCAACCTGGCCGTACCCATATCCTCGGTGAATCCGCTTGCAGATCAGTCCTCTTTCCGCGCTGGCTATCTTGGCTACCCGACTTAACCCCCCTGCGAATGTTTGGACCGAGATCAACTTATTCCTGCAATAGGAGGGCTATGACGAATCGTTCTACACATTGGCCCCTCGACACTTTATGACGGGAGAATGGCCAGCCCAAACGGATTGCATGTGGGGATTCATATATCGCCTTTCTATCCACTGGATGCATAGCTTCAGAAAACGGCCTACCTTCTCTTACCGGCTTCAACAGGTCTGCTTCATCGATTCAACATATTCTATGGCACGCTTTGCTCGGGGCTCTCGGCCTTTTCCTTTCGGGGTGCAAACATTTCATCGCAACGGACGGGGCTGCTTGTGGTTAGACCGTTGTTATAGGCTCTCCCTGTGTCTTTCGCCTTTCAACTTGGGGCAATCGCTGCGTCCTCTTTCTTAGTGTGCTTATCGTTCAGTGCGTATTACAGGACCACGTGGCGTTGAATCGTAGGATTGTCTTGTTATGCTCGGCTCTGCTGGCTCCGACTCTGGAGGCATTCGCGTACAACATGCTGTGGACACACTGACTCCGGGCCACATTTCCAATAGGAGTGATAAAGACATCGCCTCGGCGCACAAGCCGTACGCGCCATGCCCTTAGTTAGCCATGTTCTCTCTAAGCTTATTTGTGCAATTTTTCTTTCCAGGTGTCGAGCGGTCCGTCTCTGATTGCATTGGGAGAGAGGCACTCCATCGGGGCGCTCCAACGGCGCCGGTATGTACCATGCTTCCACGGGCGCGAGCGTCCGTTGGTCATACCCCTTTCCTGTGTTAGGGTGGGCATCAGCCCTGCAGATCGGTTGCACTGCATGATGTCCACCCAGCAGGTTTGGCCGTAAGTCACATTTTCCCTCCCGGATTCGAACTACTGCTGATGTCCCCATATGCCCAGGAATATCTATCGCTGCCCTCCTTGGGCAAGGCTGCGAGTTATGGTGCGTGGACCAAAGGTGCTTTGTATATCCCTTGACCATTGAGGGTTCGTTGTATCAAGAGGCCGGCTCACCCCGCAGGCTCCAGCCTCGACTCGATGACAGACTCGGCGAAGCCTACGGAACGAGTTGACGTCTTTCCCAAATGGCGCCAAGGCTGGACGAGGAAGCAGTTCCTGGCCGTGCAGGGCGAGAACCAGGACGACGAGCATAACATACGCTCCATCCTACGACGACAAAGGAAAAGCACGTGTCATACTCATTTCTCATGCTTATAAATTTGCCAGGGTAGTCTGGCTGCCACATACCCCTCTTGGACAACTCACAGACCCTAGTTTGTTTTATTTTCGATACTAACATATTTTCCCACCATTGTCCGCTTGCCCATGACAGGCCACATGTACGTAGCCTGATAATACATCGCAGCTTCACTGTTTACATCGCCCGCCTCGTGTTTATGCGCCACCCTGAGTTCGACTACTGAACATAGAAATGCATTCCGTATGTTGTACTTGACAGTGAATCAAGAAGTACCAACCTCGAACTCGAGAGAACCAAAAATGCCAAAGAACACAGCAATCGGAGGTCCCATGGAGGATTCTGGTGTCGTTTTCCAAGTTGGGACGAAGCTTCTGTCTTCTGGAGGAACAGGAGTTCGCTATCCGGGTGCAACTTCTATTCCTGCCAGGTCCCACTTTTTAACCGTATTTTCACCCGTTGACGCCGCCCTAACTGTGTCTTCATTCCAATGTTATAATGGAGGCTGGCCGCCTGTCCGTGCCTTTCGACCGACCTGCACTTGACTTGATTCTCGCGCCCTCGTGCTTAAGTCGCCCCCGTCGTAGGTGAGGCCAGTCATTGGCCACTGCCACAATGTTTTTACTCACTGAGGATGTGTCCGTCTTAGTATTGGACCTCGTTGCCTACTGTCAAGCCGCAAAACTGTCCCATATCGGATCCAGCTTGGCCTTCTACTACTGACGACACTTATTTCCCCAGCAACTCCCTTCGTTTCACAGGTCCGCGCTTTCGCCGTGTCTACGCCACATTTTTGTTCGGATGTTCACAGTCCTCCCGATTTCATAAGTCACTGTCATTCCAATAGTGTCCTCCTCTCAGTTGAAACTTGCCGGAATACATGGGCCCGTAGGCCGATCCGACCAAGTGTTCCCTTCAAAGGGACAAGCGACATGGCTATGATGTGTATGCTGTACCGCCTCGCTCCCAATACAGAGCAAGGAGGTGGTGAAATCGGCAAGGGGCGGGTAATTCTGTTCGCAGCATCTTCTCCGAATTTTGGGTAGCGCCAAGGACGACATGGGCCCCAGTTTATACAAAGGCCGAGTCACATGTCACGGGGGTTAATAGGTTCATGTCCGATTATCTCCATCTTTGCCCCGAGCACTACCCAAAATTCGGAGAAGATGCTGCGAACAGAATTACCCGCCCCTTGCCGATTTCACCACCTCCTTGCTCTGTATTGGGAGCGAGGCGGTACAGCATACACATCATAGCCATGTCGCTTGTCCCTTTGAAGGGAACACTTGGTCGGATCGGCCTACGGGCCCATGTATTCCGGCAAGTTTCAACTGAGAGGAGGACACTATTGGAATGACAGTGACTTATGAAATCGGGAGGACTGTGAACATCCGAACAAAAATGTGGCGTAGACACGGCGAAAGCGCGGACCTGTGAAACGAAGGGAGTTGCTGGGGAAATAAGTGTCGTCAGTAGTAGAAGGCCAAGCTGGATCCGATATGGGACAGTTTTGCGGCTTGACAGTAGGCAACGAGGTCCAATACTAAGACGGACACATCCTCAGTGAGTAAAAACATTGTGGCAGTGGCCAATGACTGGCCTCACCTACGACGGGGGCGACTTAAGCACGAGGGCGCGAGAATCAAGTCAAGTGCAGGTCGGTCGAAAGGCACGGACAGGCGGCCAGCCTCCATTATAACATTGGAATGAAGACACAGTTAGGGCGGCGTCAACGGGTGAAAATACGGTTAAAAAGTGGGACCTGGCAGGAATAGAAGTTGCACCCGGATAGCGAACTCCTGTTCCTCCAGAAGACAGAAGCTTCGTCCCAACTTGGAAAACGACACCAGAATCCTCCATGGGACCTCCGATTGCTGTGTTCTTTGGCATTTTTGGTTCTCTCGAGTTCGAGGTTGGTACTTCTTGATTCACTGTCAAGTACAACATACGGAATGCATTTCTATGTTCAGTAGTCGAACTCAGGGTGGCGCATAAACACGAGGCGGGCGATGTAAACAGTGAAGCTGCGATGTATTATCAGGCTACGTACATGTGGCCTGTCATGGGCAAGCGGACAATGGTGGGAAAATATGTTAGTATCGAAAATAAAACAAACTAGGGTCTGTGAGTTGTCCAAGAGGGGTATGTGGCAGCCAGACTACCCTGGCAAATTTATAAGCATGAGAAATGAGTATGACACGTGCTTTTCCTTTGTCGTCGTAGGATGGAGCGTATGTTATGCTCGTCGTCCTGGTTCTCGCCCTGCACGGCCAGGAACTGCTTCCTCGTCCAGCCTTGGCGCCATTTGGGAAAGACGTCAACTCGTTCCGTAGGCTTCGCCGAGTCTGTCATCGAGTCGAGGCTGGAGCCTGCGGGGTGAGCCGGCCTCTTGATACAACGAACCCTCAATGGTCAAGGGATATACAAAGCACCTTTGGTCCACGCACCATAACTCGCAGCCTTGCCCAAGGAGGGCAGCGATAGATATTCCTGGGCATATGGGGACATCAGCAGTAGTTCGAATCCGGGAGGGAAAATGTGACTTACGGCCAAACCTGCTGGGTGGACATCATGCAGTGCAACCGATCTGCAGGGCTGATGCCCACCCTAACACAGGAAAGGGGTATGACCAACGGACGCTCGCGCCCGTGGAAGCATGGTACATACCGGCGCCGTTGGAGCGCCCCGATGGAGTGCCTCTCTCCCAATGCAATCAGAGACGGACCGCTCGACACCTGGAAAGAAAAATTGCACAAATAAGCTTAGAGAGAACATGGCTAACTAAGGGCATGGCGCGTACGGCTTGTGCGCCGAGGCGATGTCTTTATCACTCCTATTGGAAATGTGGCCCGGAGTCAGTGTGTCCACAGCATGTTGTACGCGAATGCCTCCAGAGTCGGAGCCAGCAGAGCCGAGCATAACAAGACAATCCTACGATTCAACGCCACGTGGTCCTGTAATACGCACTGAACGATAAGCACACTAAGAAAGAGGACGCAGCGATTGCCCCAAGTTGAAAGGCGAAAGACACAGGGAGAGCCTATAACAACGGTCTAACCACAAGCAGCCCCGTCCGTTGCGATGAAATGTTTGCACCCCGAAAGGAAAAGGCCGAGAGCCCCGAGCAAAGCGTGCCATAGAATATGTTGAATCGATGAAGCAGACCTGTTGAAGCCGGTAAGAGAAGGTAGGCCGTTTTCTGAAGCTATGCATCCAGTGGATAGAAAGGCGATATATGAATCCCCACATGCAATCCGTTTGGGCTGGCCATTCTCCCGTCATAAAGTGTCGAGGGGCCAATGTGTAGAACGATTCGTCATAGCCCTCCTATTGCAGGAATAAGTTGATCTCGGTCCAAACATTCGCAGGGGGGTTAAGTCGGGTAGCCAAGATAGCCAGCGCGGAAAGAGGACTGATCTGCAAGCGGATTCACCGAGGATATGGGTACGGCCAGGTTGCGAGGACATGGGAGCTACGAGGACGTTTTAGTTGGAAGGTGAAGGCAGAGTCCAGGTCGCTTACCTAGAGGTGGCTCGCAGCTGTAGAACCATGCGTGAACGGCGAACCGGTGTGTGAAGGGACCCCAAAGGCGGAGCCTATCATAGCATGTACAACGGAGAGAGATTGGGAGGGCCCCATCCGTGAGGCGAAAGGGTTCGGAGCTGCCGAGGAGCGTCAGAGGGTGATCCGCAGCAGGGATGGAGGCCGTGATCTATGCATGAGAGAAGGGGGCGAGGAGCTGACGGGGAGACCAAGGCTCAGGCCGCCCTTTTATGCATTTCACGACCATTCAATCCTCGCCTCGCATGACCGCACTTCAGCATTAAATGGCTTTTCCAAATTAAGTGGTTTTCTTCATCGAAGTTCTACCTAACAATATGAACACGATCAGAGATCGCCTAGCTGATATTTCACAACTTTTGCGATTTCTCATCTGTTAGTAGACCGCTTGGCTTCGTTCAACCGCGAAATTGCTGGAGCAGTGCACCGCTACAATTACCGTGAACAGGGGGTGAGGGGACAAGCCAAGTCGATGCAAGGAGGGCGAAAGAAGGCGCGTCGAAAAACCACGGCAGGAAACACCCGCTCATCAGGAAGATGCATCAGGATATTAGCCGAATAAGCTATTTATGGCTTGTTGTTGGTCCAATTGACTCCGTCTCGTGCGTCCTGATGAGACTGTGGCCCAAAGCTGTCGCCGCGCTGGAGCACGAAGTCCGTCATGTCCCGAGGATGTTGGGATTTCTGCTCAAGAGTGTAGTACTTATCGCAGTGTCGCCAACATCTAGGGCTAGAGAGGAACCGAGAATCCCTCCCGTCCTTTTTCGTCGACGTTTCCGCAGACGCAGAATGAGCATTTCAGCTGAATAGGGGTGCTGTCATTAGGTAGTGATGGTATTCATTAGATCGGGTGACCAGATCTTCTTAGCCGGTTCGGTTCTCCTTGTTTTCGAGGGATCTTTTCGACACAGGGGTTCATGAACCAACTCCTGCCATCAGCCGCAGGCATAGTGAGAGAGTAGAAGGGTTTGAAAAGGGCTGAAAAATGAGGAGAAGTCTGACGATGCTGCGAGGATGCACCATTGAACACAGTCGAAAAATCAGAAAATTGAGTTTAATTCATCAATAAGTATTTATATGCAACAAGCATATTGAGAGCTAGTTGATTATGCTAACGAATGGGGAAGGCTCGATTCACCGGCTGCACTGCGCCGGATGAACGGTCTATAAATTCCGCCACGTGTTTCGTTGCCCAAAGGCAAGCACGATCTGAAGGCACGCACAGCACCAGACAGGCCAAGATCGCAGAGAAAGCACGCCAATAACGCGCACTGGCCAGACACAGGAGCCAGCATCTGGGTGAAAATGCAAGGGAAAAATCTTGCACTGGGCGCTTAACTCCAATTCATTGTGTGGCGAGACCATTTCATCGCTCGTACACGGCTTCCCATGTCTGACCACGTCATGCCATTGTGAAGCCCATAGTAATGCGTTGGGGAACAGCGTTACTTACGGGTATGAAAGTTAGAATGCGGACAGAAGGTTCGACATTAACCTTCGATTGCGCGCACCAGTTAGGGCTAAGGGAGCTGGTCCCTCAACAGCATAGCAGATCTCTCATTCCCTGCCCATGCATCTTCATTGCGTTTGGCGGTTATCGATGCCAGGTGCATTCACCTCTACGATGATGACAGCCCCAGTACAGCTTGCAGTGTCAGCGACGTAGTTGCCATCCATCTCATAGCAACTGCAGTCCGCTAACTCACAAGTATCCACTGAAACGCAGGGATGCTGTCAAATATCGGGTACAGATCCTGTAGGAGGTACAGGTTGCCCGGCATGCGACTAAACGGTTCCAATACGTAACCAACATCCCAACCATCCACCCGGCGCTCAACTACCTACAGAGGCAGGGGTAATTAGGCATCGCGAGGCACTGGATCTAGCGAGGACTGGTGCTGTATCCTGATGCCTGATGATACTGCCCGTCTGGTGGGAGTACGGCCGGAGGACTGTGTCTCACTATACTCACTACAATATCAGCTTGTGGCTGAAGGGAACATTGTATCCATGCCTATCCCAACGAACCCCTTCTCGTCCCAGCGCACAGAGGAGATGCGGACGTCAGCATCACGAACCCCTGAAAAAGGATGAAGTCCCTCTGTTCTGAGTAACCCAGGACTCAGCCTACTGGCAGCAAACCACTCGTTCCGTAAGCTTGGGTGACTAACAAGTCCCTGTAATCCCAGCGGGAACCCCCAAATTTTTGTGGGGAAGGATAATCGATCACGGAGCAATCGAGAGGCGCCTGCTTCGGGCGTTACAGCGTACGCCCCAAGTATATGACAAGGAGGCTATGAAATTTTCGCTGGCTCCGCACTGGGGGCTTCTTTGAGGAAGGAACTTTCAGCTCAGGGCACTCATGAGCTTACCACCGCGATCAGGACTGATCGGATGGACCTGGATGGTCGTGCGCGGGGAATGATTTCGGAGGTACTCCTTCAGGCTCTTACTTTGGAGTGGAAGGTATTAGCTCGTTCTGCATCCCATCAAGAGGGATATAGATAACGAGCGTTGGGTGTTGCGAAAACTCTACGAAAACTCAGATGTGTGAGAAGAGAAATGAATGTGGCGACTCATACTGTAAACGGAAGTCCCTCTGCTCTGCGCTTGCTTCCGCATTCCCTCCCAAACGGTCTTTTGGACGATGACAGTGTGCTGGTTCGCCCACCAACTACGTGCGCCATCGTAGCCCCCTCATCCGAGATTCATGTGGATCTAGATCTCCTGCGCATGCAGCCTCAGTAGACTCGACGCAGCACTTGCGCCCCAGGATTCTCTCCCTCTAACGGGGTGTGTAGAAGCTGCTAGCTTGCATCTGCACGACAACGCCTAACTCCCACTCGCATTCTACCCGAGGTTCAAGAGCTACACGGGACGCCTTTGGATCTTTACGGAAAGCCGTTGATTCATACGTGCTCCATCTCCTCAACTGGACCGCGTTCACGAACGGACGACTGCCGCTATATGGGTCAATGGGACCAAATTTGACATTTAGGCAGTAGGAAACATAGTTTTGATGAGTGCGTTATCTTTCCTTCATCCATACATCACGTAACAGCAATGTGAACGCTCGCTAGACACGGCACATCGCCTGAACTCTTCTGTCCTCTCTCCCGCATCTTACCTCTAGCCAATCTTAGGACAGTGACTGGCGCGGGCCGAAGCGTCAAATCTCAAACAATCCATCCTCGAGCCATAGAGTTTCCGAGGGCCGCGAACGCACAATTAACCGAGTATGTAAACTTGGCTTGAAAGTCCGCTAAACGGACAGTTCTTCTCCCTCTATATCTTTCCAATCGAATTCTCCAGATAGTGACCTACTGCGTGAATCCCAGTGAGTTTCTTGATCATAAACATGATTATCGGCATACGCTGATTTTGAAGAGCCTACACACTCATTTTGCTATGGGGCTAGTAAATCGGCGAGTGATGTGTCGGTCATCGTCTGCCCACGGAGAATAAAAGAATTTGTCGAAACAAAATGGAGCCTTGACTGACTCGCATGTAATTGTAATGTGGGCGTTGTAGCTCTCGTTGTTCAACAAGGGTGCGTGACGGGCTGTAGGGTTTCGAGATCTAGTTTTCTTGCTCTAGGACCCCTTCTTTGAAAGTTGACGCTCTCTCATGAATTAGGCATGATTCTCCTTTACGCGTTTATGGTTTATATGGCCAATCCTCGCTGGGATTTCACTGACTCCCACCCTAAAATTCACAGAAGGGAAACAGCACTGCATTGGGCTCGAAAATTCAATTTCCGCAACATCATCTTGTTTTGGCTATGATTGAGGTTCGTAACCCTCATGTCTCCCCCGAAGCTTACATATGTAATTTGGCCCGCCTTCGATAACAAGTTATGTTCAGCGCACGGCCAGCACAGAGGCCCTAGTACACAAGCAATGAAGATGCATTTGTCGAAGAATTGGGGTATGCACCAGTCAAGTTGATACCAGCTCGTAACAGATCTTTCCTTCAATAATGGTTCCCTCTACTACCCCCGTGATCTACAAAGTGGGCAATCACCGTCAGCATGCACTTCGTTAGGCGAAACACGATCGTATCAATCGTTGCGATGAAATGTTTGCACCGGCCGAGGGCGAATATGTTGAATGGATTAGTCGTCAAAATTACGTGGTTGCGCGTCACGCGCGCCAGTCGTTTACCTGTTTATCCTCGGATCTCCTTGTTTTTGTCTCTTTCCCTCATTTTTCTACATGCGTGTTGGTTATCTCGACAATTTACCTCTCATTGTTTTTCCCATTTCATTTTCGTCTCCATATCAATCGCCGGTCTCCTGTTTCCAATGGCACCTCACACGGTAACAGTGGTGAACAGATTATCGTCGAAATCTCAGATTTATCGCACATCGTTTCGTCTTCATACATGTGCTTTTTAATAGTGTCGATTCATCAGCCCTGATCCCTATTATGTAATTATATTCATCAGAGGTAGAAATGCGGACCTGGACATCTGCGGCCATAGGACTCGGAAAGCACCGCATCCCGTCTGATCTGCGAAGTTAAGTTGAGTACCGCTTAGTTAGTACCATGGTAGGGGACTACATGGGAATCCTGAGTGCTGTAGTTTTATTTTTACTTTTATTTTTCCAGTTTCTCCTTTGGCTTTCTGCCACTTTTTCCAAATTACAAGTACGAACCTTGCCAATTAACAGCGGAGCAACGTAAAGCAATGCGTGCTCAAATTAACGTTTCTATGTTCTGTCTCTCAATCGGTTATCCCTACTTATCCTCTGATCCTTTCTTTGCCACCTTATGTATCTCTATTAATCGCTCATCCTCTACACAATTTCTTCAGAATGTGTTTTCACCTGGTGCTTTGTAGGTTACCGCGAGGCAGCCCACAGCAGGAGTAAGAGAAGGTAGGTCAACTGCACATCCGAAAGGTGTTCCTGCAACTCCATCCGTTTGGGACCAATGTGTAGAACGACGCGTCATAGCCCATTCCACGAATAAGTTGGCGGCCAGCTTGAGGAAAGCTGCGTCGGTCAGAAGCGACTGGGAGCTTGGACATGTAGCGTGGGGAGTTGGCTCTGGTTGTTTCCTTCACCGGTCATCCGGGGGAAATCATCAGCGATGCATGCAAGATAGAGGTATAGTTCCCATTTATTGTTCATCACTCCGTAATTCACAGAATCGCGTCTGGAAAACGCGATTGGGAAGGGCGCCCTGGACGTTTCGGACTGGAGTTGAGTGCAGTTGTTAAGGAATATGAGGTGACAATGTCTTCACACTCAACCTCTATGATACTATGCTTCCAGTGTATGTAGCCGTACACATCGTAGCTCGATATAGTGTACAGGTGTATTTCTTTTGACCCATGCTTCCGTCGTGCATGCCGCACTGCTCCCAAGCCTCGTCCCACCCCCTCTCATCCCCAGTTGTTCGGATGGCCATAACTACCCGGCTCCATCTCGTGGTTATGTAACGCGACGAAGTGGGTACATATTGGGAAGAGAATTGGGGAAGGGCCATGATGAGATGTGCAATTGCCAGCGCAGGCAATTCAACCAATAAAAAATCTACGAATCACTAATATCTCATTCGGCGGCCTGAATGCAATGTATGCATGCCATGATGGGCTTGGCTCAAGTCGACAACGCGTCTTTGAATCCTTATTCGAAAGGCTGCATCATCAATTCCCACTTAACTTATTCCCCTCTCACCAGTAGCACCTTGCTGTACTTCCGCAGGGACGCCAGAGGCCCGCCAAACACTCACAATAATGTTATGTATATTGCCAAACCTAACGCTGCAGAAATAGTGAATGGTACACACATCAGAAACTTCCCCCACAATTCTAAGCAATGTTGCAGCACAAAAGGCATCGAGTGGATAGCCAAGGGAGTGACGAGCTAGTAAGCACTGCCAACGAGCGCACTGGTAAATGCTAAACAATTTGGCTAATATAGACACGAGCATCATGCGGTCGTACCAAGGATTAAATTATATATAAAGGAAATGATGTTCGTAGTGGCATTGTGAAGTTGCGCCGCACTCTCCCTAGATGGTCTTTATGTTGCACTAGGGTTTGATCATGGCGTCATCGAAATCGCTGACATCGATCATCAGCGTAAAATCTGTCGATTGCGGCCCAATTCTGTCAAGAACTCGGTCTGGATCAGATTCGTCAATGGAAGATATCGATGGGAACGTAACAGTCCTCGGCGATGAAATGGCCTCTGTGAAGCTCGGCGCTCTTGCCACTGGTTTATATTCTGCTGGAACCGCCGTCTCAGATAACGGTTGTGCGATTCTCGCGCAATCATCGGAACAAAGCTTGGGCTTCCATTCGTCACCCATTGGCATTTCATTCAATCTTGCCACTTACGAACTTGGGGCCCATTTTCTTCCGAGTGGCCTTACATTGTGCGAGGACCCTAACGTGTGGCTCTGTCGTCGTCAGACAGACCTCTGTTATTTCGCCGTGGGACCATCAAGTCCAACCCTGGCGTCGTTGTACGGAAAAGCAATGACGAGGCGGTGCATGGTGCACAGTGTGTTCGCGCCGGGGCCGGGTGGTGTCGTGAGTCATGACTTGTCGATCTAATAGTAACAGCCTTGCTCTCGCCGACGGAAGTTCGGAGACCTTACACTGCCACCAGACAGACCTACTCGTTGCTTGCTTCACGGGATGATGGGGACGAAAAGAAAAGCCATGACAATCATGCGGCGGTGTGAGCGCCGGCCTATACTTGTCCATCTGACAGGGTTCGAAGGGTTTTAGGGACGCATTTAAAAGGTAATTGATCAACGTCCCTTCGCCTCCACAACCTACGACTATTATTAGGATGGTCAGTAAACGTTGTGGATGCACGAGCATGGCAGCTGTCTCTTACCCCTTGAATGCAATCAGCCCTCTTTTCTTGCTTGCAGCGTGGCCATTCTACTTTTTTGCACGGGTTGTGTTTACGCTACAATTCCGCATGAGGATCTCGCACGCAAATATGCGCCTCAGTTTCGTTTGCAGTATGCTTACTTCACTTCTTACGCACATTTGGCGCTCCGCTGAATGAAGTCCTTAGTCCAAGTGAAGCCTTCTTGCCGAGCTCTATCGAGTTTATGTTTCCGAACTTCAAGGTGGGCGCTGCCACTTGGTGGACAGTCTGGGCGGAGCGTTCAATACCACTGTTTAGGTGTATGACGACAAAGGAAACCTCGTCCCCAACCAGCCACCTCTCCTTACGAGCACGAACCTTGCGTCGTCCTTGCCAAGCAATGGCCAAGGAACTTTCCTTACCGTCCAAAATTATACGAACGCTCTGGGGACGTTCCTTGCTGGAAAGAACCCAAAGACGACTCGTGTTCCCGTCTATACCTTCATCGCTCCCAAAGGAAATGGAGTGGTAGACTTCTACTATTGGACGTACTATCCGTGGAATCAAGGAAAGATAGTAAAAGCGGTTGGAGAAGTTGGTGACCGTGAGCGTGCCATCCAGGCTCGGGTGTGATATTATGTTCAAACTAACGTGGATCGTCCAGATGTGAGTGACTGGGAGAGAATGTCTGTTCGGACTGTCAACGGTGCGCTCTGCGCTGGGGACGCGGGTCTGTCCCCTGATCGCCGATTCTTCGATTTCTAGGCGTTGCCGTGAGCGCGGATTACAATGCTCATTCGGGAGGAAGTCAGTCTACCGGGTACGAGAAATATTATCCTACAAATATAACTCATGCCGAAGTGTTTCTACCATTTCATCTTCCAGGACCATACGCTGGGCTGACGTCCCAAAAGTACCTGGCGAGGATCGCCCTATTGGGTGGGTAGCACAGGGTTCACACGGCATTTGGAACTCCCCTGGAAAGGATGTGTACCAGAATGTAGGAGTCTCTCAGCAGCTGACGGTGCATGCTCAGACGAACCATTCATGACAGGTCAGCTACGGTCAACTCACCGACCAACTTGTTGATGTCACGGCTAATGGTGGTCCGAAATGGGATGCCAAGGCAAACTTGTTCCCCATAATGTATATCCCAGGGGGACCTTACAAGGGTGGAGAAGTTGTTCTTTCTCCATTCGCGGCATATCTGATATCGTTTTGCTGGCGCCAGGTACATTTTCGTGGCTCAACTTCCAGGGCAAGTGGGGTAACAGAGGATTGACAAATTGCTGGTGGTACCACATAGCACCGGTATGCCTGGAGTCAGATTGCAATGCCATTTCTTAGTTTGTTTCCCTTAGGAATGCTCCTTGGTCGATGGACCCGTTGGACCCGCTCGAGATCTCATGAGTGGGCCACCTTCGGTGAGCTAGTCGAAACAAAGCGAATCACCAAGTAACGTCCTTCCATCTCAGAACACTATCGCAACCGCTATCTCCTCAAACAACTCCATCTACAACGTTCATATTTCCCCTAAGTCTAATAGGCCAAATTATGTTGGGGTCACCCAAATTTGTGCATGGATGGAGGGGAACGCAACCAAGACAAGTGCCACCTTTGAATCTGTTCGGTCTACAGGGCATCCCTCAAAAACACTACACAAGGTGAGTTGCATTGTCATGGGGGGCGTGCCAATCTGAATGATTATCGCCTCCTCGTCCAGATTATCGTCCCAGGATGTGGCGCAGGGCACTTTGTGGACTCGTTCGAAGTTTCGGCCTGCAAGAATCGCACTCAGAATAGCTGTGATTTCATGAGAAATGCCACGCGTGCCATCCGGGCTTATCTTCCCGGGAAGAGCGGAATTGTGGCCGCCTCCGCTGTTCAAGTTTCGGACCCCGATTATTGGAGGTGGGAATCAAAGCCATGTGTTGACGTGGGGCTTTTTTTCTGACCATATCCCCAACAGAATTTGAGGCTTCATTACGTGCAACTAGTTTCAGCATTCTAATGGACATTTTGTGCACCTGGTTGCTGAAAGTGTTTCGGGGATCATTGGCAAGCCTCCAACCGATGCACCGTTCGCGACTCGACGTGAGTTGGCCATGAAGTCCTTCATCTGTCCGAGGCATGAGCGAAAGACAGTTCTGCGTGAAGACTCAGTGCATGGCGTTCTTTCCATGTGCATGTGCTTGGTTTTTCCGCTCATCGCAGGTGATCCTTGACGATAGCCTAGTGGAGCAAGAGTGCCTTCAGTGATGAAGCTTTGCGCGAGTTCTCTGATTCCCCACTCCGTCAGATATTAAGTCGTCAAATTGGGAGGGCTAGCAACAGAGTATCCTGCTGTGCGAGTTCTTGGCTAAGCAGAGAGGGGCTACGTGTCGGGCCACGAGAGCCTATAGCAACTGCATGATGGCTACTTAGGAGCTGCATCATCACGAACACCGGATGGTTCTGGGCACTTATTCGGTTTCCGTGAAGATGGTTGCCAGAACGAAAAGTGTCTGTAGTCTGCGGACAAATCTGTCTCTGCCACTCAGCTGGACAATAGAGACAATAATCTGAATTTAGGAGCCAGTAGTATCTGAAGCTAAGCACCAGCAGCACGATATGATGCAAATTTATGCTAATATTGGCCATGGTGTCTCAAGGCCTGGTTTGCTAGAAACTATTGTTGAAAGGCTGCCGGCCCGTCGACAACCCCTTTCATTAATTATCGCACTATCCTCTCGGTGTCCCATCTGGCCGTACACAAGTTACCGCGCAATGACCATATAACACAGGCACTTCAACCGTCACTGCGACAGCATCGTTACTGGCGCAGGCAACTACCAACCAATGTCATTGGGAAGTTCAGTACTTAACATGCACACTGGCCTTATTAACACAGTGTGGGCTGACTAGTATCCTTCCATCGATGGCAGCAAGTCAGCATGCGGTGGCGATGACCCTGTCACCTCGCTGGCGAGCGGCAAGAGCTGGTTCATGTCTGAAACCAGGACTAGAGGGCCGGTGACTCGAAGATGTTATGTGAGGTGAACGGCTCACGTTGTCCCAGTGATCAGCCAAACGAGTTGAGGCATGATGAGCTTGTTTAAGTCGAGTAGTGGGGTCAGCAGTCCCAGCGGGTTCAGTGCAATTTTATACCACTTTCACGATGCGAAGGACCTCCTTTCGATAACGTCTATAGAGGCTGGTAACCTGCCTATCGATAACGACAGTGAGGACGTGAATAAGCGTTAGCCAGTCCACTTCGGCGCCAGGCCGCCTGCCGAGCCATTAACTGGAGCACCATTCTGTTGGAATATCAACAACAACCGAGCTGCAGCGTGGATTGGGGAGTTTTTATTATCGTCGTGACTAACAATGACTATACCTTTTTGTTTCAGAGTCGCGGTACCACGCGCTCCCAATTTACTTTGTCTTATATTGCCAGTTGTCACTGGCAATCACTTTAAGCGATATTGGCTCCAGTCATATAAGTTACGCTGGATGCCGTAATTTTTCTCCCTCCCTCAGTTCTCCATTTCGAGACTGAGGTGATACCATTTCATTCCTATCTGTGTTTGCGCATAACTCATTGTATTTTCATGTTATAGCTATGCGCGATAGGTAAAAATCTTAATACTAGTTCTCCATTTCGAGACTGAGTTATGCGCGATAGCTCCTATTTCATTAGGTTATGAGCCCAGCCATGGCCACCTCAAACGATAGTTCTAAGAATATTTACAACATCGAGAAATTAAAGAACGATGGTCGTAACTATCGAATGTGGTCTATTTGCTGCCACATGATTCTCATCGACAGAGCACTCTGGGAATTTGTCGATCCCAGTTCCAAAACCTCCGACAAACCTTCCTCATCTTCCTCCTCCTCATTGTCCTCTAGCTCTTCTGGCAAAGTGGCTGCTACTTCTCCTGATCCTGCTGTTGTCGAATGGGATAAGAAAAACAGCAACGCTCTCACCCAGATTGCACTCACCATTGAAGACACCCCTCTATCTATGATTGAAGGGAAAGACTCCACTAAAGAAGCCTGGGTTGCCCTGTTGAAATGTTACAATGGAGTCAGTGCACAAGATGCAGCTAGAGTGATGACTCAACTTCATCATTACCAACTAGACAATTCCAAACCTCTTGAGCCTCAGCTGATCGAGATGTGGGGACTTCGGGACCGACTGGCTAGTCTTGGTGATACTTATACTGACGCCAAGTTTGCTATGATAGTGTCCGAAGCACTACCAGAGTCATATGATACCCTTAAAACGATAACATTGGTGGATCTTGACAACGCATCCACGATTGCCTGTGACAAACTCATCGCTCAGATTCTCTGAGAAGAGAAACGGAAATCCAAACCTAGGTCATCTACCGCTCTAATTGCCAAATCTGGAAAGGTTGCTAGCAAAGAGTCAGATAAGTCGGATGGGAAGAAATCTAAAAAGACTAAAGATCACCCACATTGTACAAACACTAACTGTAAATGGAGGTTGGGACACACCTTCAAACAGTGTTGGGCGGAAGGTGGTGGATCTGTGTCAGGGACGCGTCTGGGGTAGAGGAGGCCCGGGTGAGACGCCCGACACTAGGAGCCTCGCGGGGTGTGGAGCGGGCATGCGTACTGGCGGGCCCGGCTCAGGAGGCAGTCCCTGGCCACTTAGACTGAAGTGGAAAAGGGTGTTATTGTTATTAAAAGGGAATACTATGTTACTTACCTGAAGTGGAAAAGGGTGAGAAGAAGGCTACTTCTTCGGTTCCCACTTCAGGTATGTTTATATACATGCGGCTTAGGTCACATGACGGGTGCCACGTCATCCTCGCATACAGCCGTAGTCACCCGGGTGTCCCCGTGGGGGATCCCAAGGGCGTCCGCTGTGAACGCGCGAGCTGGACATAGCGGGGGTCGCCCGAGGTGCCTGGGCTGGGCGTGTCGTGAGTGCGCTGCTGGTGGGTCAATGGTACATTGATACAAGGAAAGGTCGTCCATGTAGAATAAAGAGAAAATAAAGAGAAGGTGAGATAAGTAAAGAGAGAGTGGAATGGAGAAAGAAAGAAAGAAGAAGGGGGGGAGGAGGTAGGGGAAGACCGGGTGGCGGGGTACCGGGTGAAGTGGGGCCGGGTGGGGCCGGGTCAGGTGGGTGTGCCCTGACATCACCCCCTCCTTAAGCCGCTTCGCCTCGAAGCGGCCAGGTGGTTCTCCCTCTCTCTTCCCGGGGCCTGGGGGTGTGTCCTGTGGAATTCCTCGATCTGGTCGGGGGCGTGGACTAAGTGGTCCCGCTGGAGCCATTGGTTCTCTGAGTTTGGCCAGCCAGCAAACTTCACTAGATACCAGAGTTTCCAGCGTAGCCACTTAGAGTCTAGTACTTTCTCGACTTCATATTCTTCGTCTCCATCTACGAGCTCTGGGCCCGGGCGTGGGTCGGTGGGTCGTTCCCTGATGTCGTCCGGGTGGTATGGTCTGACGTTTGTCATGGATACGACTGGGTGAACTCCTTTCTGTCGTGCGGTGAGTTGAAGTTTGATGGCAGCCGGGGAGACGACTTTGACGATCTTGAAGGGGCCAAGCCATTTGTGGTCCAACTTTTTGGTCGGGCGGTCGGTCGTGTAGTTTTGCGCATTGAGCCAGACTTGGTCACCTTCTTGATACTTTGGGGCCGTCTCGCGATCTCGGTCGTAGTAGCGGGCCATTTCGTCCGCTGCGTGTTCCAGCGCTGCTTTCGCCTCCTCCTGCATTTTCATCATCCTTGACGAGAATGCATCAGTGGCTTCCACCTCAGACGTGCGTGTGGGTTCTGTCCCCATCCTGGGGTGTTGGCCGGTGTCGAGTTCGAAAGGGGTTCGGTGGGTGGAGGAGTGGATGCAGTTATTATAAGAGAATTCCGCTAAGGGGAGCCAATCCGCCCAGTCATCTTGGCGATGGTTGACAAACACCCGGAGGTAGGCCTCGATCTCCTGATTGACCCGCTCCGTCTGTCCGTCCATCTGGGGGTGGTAGGGCGCAGAGGGGGTGAGCTTGACACCTAGGAGGTCCGCGAGCTCTTTTGAGAAGCGGGAGACGAAGGCGCTCCCTCTATCGCTGAGGATCTCCTCAGGGAGGCCGTGGTGCCTCCAGACATGCTCTAGGAAGAGCCGTGCGATACCCTCCGAGTCCACGGTCGTCACAGTGGGGACCGCGTGGATGCGTTTGGATAGGTGGTCCACCACTACGAGGATGGCATTGTATCCTTTTGACTCTGGGAGCTCCCCTACCATGTCCACTGAGATCACCTGCCAACGATGGGTGGGGACTTTGTTTGGGGTGAGCTTCCCAACTTTTCGTGAGGGGAACGACTTGACGCGGTTGCAGGTATCGCACCCGCGTACATATCGCCCGACGTACTCTGCCATCCGGGGCCACCAGTAGTCACGGGAGACGAGTTCCAAGGTTTTCCATCGCCCTGGATGCCCCGTCGCCCGTGCGTCGTGGTGTAGCCGTACCAGATCGTGATGGAGTTGGGGGTCTTTTGGAACGTACACTCTCCCCCGGTATAGGACTAGGTCTCCCTGCTCCTCCCACTCGTCCGATCTTAGTGTCCCTTCTCTCAGCTCTCATATAGCTTTTACCACCCTCTCATCGTGGTCTTTTGCCCCGCGTATTCTCTCTAGGATGCCTGCTTCCTCTCCTTCTACTGAGACCGCCTCCGTCGCGCGAGCTTCGAACCAGGCTGGTTGGAGGAGGGTCAGCCCTTCATTGTCGTCCTTCCCTTTCGGGTGGTCGGCTCGACGGGAGAGTGCGTCCGGCTTCCCCATGAGTTTCCCTGGGCGGTGGACGAGGGTGAAGTAGAAGCGGGAGAGGAAGAGGGTCCACCGGGCCTGGCGCCGGTTTAACCTCTGGGCTGTCCGGAAGTAACTCAGGTTACGGTGGTCAGTGTAGATTTCGACCTTCTCCCCGGCACCTTCTAAGAAGTGTCGCCACTCTTCCAGGGCTCGGACGATTGCGAGCATCTCTTTGTCGTATATCTCGTAGTTACGCTCCACGTCCGTGAA